TGGTTGAAAATAAAAAATTGATGGGGAAATATGACAAAATTTCAAAAATACCCCTGAATATTAAACAATTGGAGGTGGGGTTCTCTGGAGATGGACAATTGCGTAAAAAATTTGGCACCTAAATATATCACTTCCCTAGTTTTCTATGAATACCACCTCAAAGGTGTGTTTATCCAACAGTGATTTTCATACCAAAACACACTGATTTCAAATTTGCATGGGAAAAGAGAATGCCCTGTTTTATTTCATTTAATCCTCTACCAAACTAGTCATTCTCCATTTCCCACCACTAGGGGTGAAACTGGGCCGAGCCGGCCTATAGGGGTCTACGACTCGGCCTATGTTAGGTCAGTCCTGACCTAGTATATTTCGTAAAATAGGCCAAACTTGAGTCTTGAAAAAGCCTGTTTAATAAAGAGACCTCACAAGTCCTGGCCTATAAGCCTACATACCGACCTATATTATACTATTTATTTTAAAGAAAATAAAATAAAATAAGTATGCCTTGAATAAAAAAGAAAAGATATAAATTTAATCAATTGCAATTATTTATAACTTAATTATATTCGATTATATTTTAATGAAAATCTGAATTTATTTCTTATGTAGGAGGAACCAACATCTTAGCATGTTAGATTGTGTATATGAATATATTACAAGATTTTTGGGAGATGTTATCTTTACTACAATCATCATGATGTGTTTGTTGGATTCATGTAGTTATTTTAATTTACATAGTATGGATTTGTTTGTTAGATATGATGAAATATATGTTATTTAGTTTGAGCATTTTGCTTTTGAAAGTGACTTAAATGCAGATTGTATGAGTTTTGTTGTGATTCATGATTCTGTTTGGACATTGAAATTATGATTTTGGTTTAACTACAGAATTTGAGTATTTTGTAAAATTGATTCATGGTTCTGCTTTGAAGTTAAAAATTAACAGGCCAACGGGCTAGGCCAAACCATTTGTTTTTTTATAAACGGGCCAAACCAGACTAACAGTTAGACTCGTACTAGGCTTGAGCTAGACCAAATTGAAAAATTTTGGCGTAGGCTTAGACTTTTCGGGGCAAAGCTTGGCTAGCCCAGCCCACATTCACCCCTACCCACCACCACTTACATACTTTGTAGCTTTGATAATAGTCTCATGACCACAACTAGGGGTGTAAATGGGCTGGACTGGGCTTTGGCCTTTTTGGCCCAAGCCTACGTCAAAAAAAATTCAGCCTATCTGACCTATTAAAGACTTTATTTGTAGGCCAAGCCCGACCCATTTTTAAAATAAGAAAGCCTGACATGGCCTACGGGCATTGTAGGCCTCCCACTGTAGATACTAAGCAAAAAAATTAATTGTATAGAGCAAAAAAAGTTCCATTCATGCATGCACTAGTACTTCTCATAAGAAAAAAATGAAAAACAAGAGAGAGTCAACATAATACCCCAGCTCTAGAATGTATATCATAGGGGAATATAGTCAAAGAAATGGAGAAAATAAGAAAAATACAATTACCGGAAGCTGAAATAAAGTCTACAAGAGAATTTCATTTATCTAAAAATCTTTAAACCACCATCAAGACAAGGGGAATAAGAGTATTATTGAAAGATCTTCATCAGTAACATCATAATCCAGCAAGGTACCCATTACGCTTTGGTATTAAGCTGCAACAACATGTAAAATTTGGAGACATTAGACAAGTTTTCCTTTCATAAAATAAAATAGCATAAAAAGTAAGAGATATTGGTATTTGGTACTTTGCGTCTTTGCCACATAAAATAAATATTATTTTAATAAATTAAATAGGTCAACCTACAAGGCTGTAGGCCGGGCTTGACAAAATTGGCCTATGACCTATTTGTTAAAAAAACTTTTTTATAAGCCTAAGCCTACTCTACTTTTCTGAAAGGCTGGGCTCAATGTAGGCCGGGGCGTAGGTTGGGCTGGGCCAGCTGGCCCATTTACACCCCTAACCACAACTAGAGGTGGCAATATGGGTTGAGTCCGGCGGGTTGGGTCGAGGTTTTCAACCCACCAACCCACCCCGCCTAGAAGTGGGTCAAAACGGGTTCAACCCGTCGCGGGGCGGGTTGACCCGCTGGGTTATAATTTTTATTTTTATTTTACAATTAGGTAGTATTTTATTAGTCCTTAAATTTTTGTGATATCTAACTTTTTATTTTATTTTAGTGCTTCCTAGAAAAAATAAAGAATAACAATTTTATTTATGACAAATGTTATCTATATATAATTTCGTAAAGAATGTTTGACAAATATTAGTATACATTTAAGATTGAGACTAAAAAAATATAGAGAAGTGTGAAATAAAATAAAATAAAATTAAAAATTCATAAAATATAATTTATTTTTAAATTTTAATTATTATTTTTTAATTGGCGAGTTGGTGGGTTGACCCGCCAACCTACCATAAAACGGGGTGAGTTTACTTTTTCAACCCATATTTTTTGGCAGATCAACCCACCTCGCTCCGTTTTTAACGGAGGGAGACGGGGCGGGTCAACCCAAATTGCCACCCCTAACCACAACCCTCCCTTATCCGCTAAACTCTTGTTTCTTGCATAGCTGGCAAAACTTTTGATGATTTATTAAAGAAATTATAAATAAAAGGTTTGGTCCTTGTCATTTTAAATAATATAAAATTATATCATTCTAAGTCAAAGAAAAATATAAATAATTTAAATTATAGGAAAGAGAGTAAGTGATTTTTTAATTTAAATTTTAAATAAAAATATTAATTTATATTTTTTTTTATCTTAAAATAGTATAAATCTATATCATTTAAAATAATAAATAATTTTCCCCTAAACGAATCATTTACACATACTCGTTGGATTTTTAAGTGGCCGGATGAAATGCTTAAAATATGAAAAAAAAAGTACAAACTTCCAGAATGCCAAAATACATCAAAATGACCGAGTCTGAGTGGAGTCCAAATTATAATCTGGATCAAATATTATTTGTTGAAATTACATAATAATAAGTTCTTATATTAAAACATTTACCGGAATCATTTGATATTATTTTATAATTTTCAAATAAATGATTAACTTTTATTAATTGAACTTATTTAATTATATTTATAAATTTTAAATTTTTTAGAAAAATGATTTCTATGTGTATACCATTGTTCATTTATTTTTCTAAATGAAAAATTATAGTAATACAATTTTATATATTAAATAGTTTAATAGATTTTATTTAACTCCTATTAAATAAATTAAACTTATTTTCATTTAATAAAACTCACATTACCCAATAATAAAAAAATGTACCCAGAAATATACTAATATCCTTTTTTTATAAACCACAAAGTGAGAGTTGCAATTTTTTAATAAGGTGAATAAACTCGAGGCCGGTTTTGCTAAAAAAAGTTGCTTTTATGTCTTATTTATATTAGAAGTGTGTTTTACAAAATCTAATGTTCTGTAGAATTAAAAAAAGGAAAAAATATTTGACATTTTAAATAATACAAAATTATGTCATTTTAAGACAGAGATAGACACAAAATAATATTTTTTATTTAAAATTTAAATTAAAAAAAATCACAAACTTTATTTCTTATTATTTTTATTTTTTGTGTCTATCTCACTACTAAAATAATATAAAAACATCAAACCCTTTAAAAAAATATATAGTTTTTAAAAAATAATTGAATTTGACTTCTGTTTTTTTTTTTAGAAATTAAAATTTTTAATTTGCAAAAAAAGCAACTTTTTAATTTTTTAAGAGAAAAGTTCAGCAATGCGCATATGATTTACTACAGAGTCACTTATGTTCTTGTGATTTTTTTTATCATATATGTTTTTGTGATTTAGAAAATGGTATGTTTTTATCATATATGTCCCGTAACTTTTTATTTTTTACAAAGTACAAGAACATATGTGATAAAAGAAATCACATGGACATAAATGATTCTGAAACAAATCACATGACATGGGGGCATTGGTGAACTTTTTCTTGTTTTTAAAGTTAGATATCCAAACGAATTTGGATCCTCTCATGTGATCATATCATGTGAGAAATTATAACCATACAAAGCTGGATCAATGGCAGTAAAAAAGGAAAGAGAAATCATAACCTTTTTTCTGTCCAAACACTTTATAGAAGAAGTTTTTTTTTAAAAAAATAAATAAATTAACTTTTCGCTAAAAAAAAAAAAATCCAAACCGGCAGATTAGAATCGATGGCAAATTACCAAAACAAAATCATACAAAGTTTCGTGCGGAAATGCGGGACCGGCTGAGCCAACGTGTGAACGAAAAACCGGTTTCGCCGCGCACCGAACAAGTTACCAAAACCGCTAAACGAATAATCAAAAGGAATATTACGATTGCGCCACCGAATAAAAAACCTTGCCACTTTCCTTCTCTCTTCGACAATCCACAGTCTAACCTGACTTTGGCTTTAGGGAGAGACTAAACCAAACCTTTCAGCAATGTCGGGTGTTAGGGTTCGGTGAGCAACGGACACACACAGACGCAACCTCCATGGAAATGCCCGCTAGAAGATCCAACTACTCACTCCTCAGCCAAACTCCCGACGACCAGTTCGGCGCAACCGCTCCGCCTCCGTTGTTCGACTCTTCATCCGGTGACGGCAAGAACAACAAGAGCAAGTTAGACAGAGCCTTTGACTGCGACTCGGTTGCCGATCATAGAGTCGCTCAGCAGGGGAATCGGATCGGGAATTTGTACGCCTCGATCGGGTTGCAGAGGCAGTCCAGCGGTAGCAGTTTCGCTGAGAGCTCGCTGTCCGGCGAGTTTTATGCTCCGACTCTGTCAATCGTCTCTGCCAACGAGATCGATGCCTTTGGCTACGCTCACGATGATGGACTCAAATTCGGTGGAGGTGTTGGCGGTGGCGAGACCAGAACCAAGCTTCCGGAGATTGCGGCGGCGAGGAACGAAGGGTCTTTTGGTAAGAGCTGGGCGCAGCAGACAGAAGAGAATTATCAGTTACAGATGGCTTTTGCACTTCGGCTCTCCACTGAGGCGACGTGTGCTGATGATCCCAATTTTCTGGATTCAGTGCCAAATGAATCCACGTTAAGGTCCTCGTTGTCATGTTCAGCAGAGGCAATGTCGCATAGGTTCTGGGTATGTTTATTGTTATGCCTCTCGTTGCATGGCTTATGGTTTGTGCTACTTGAATTGTGGTTGGTTGCAAAGTTTCGGTGATTAGTTATGAACTTGTGAGCGAGCGAGAGATTGTTCATTTTAGGTTTTCATCATTTGTTTGTTTGTTTTTTTTTTTTTTTTTTTTTTTTTAACTCAAGTTTCAATGTGTAATCAAAGAAAATTTAAAAAAAAAAAGCACGTAAATGGATGTAGTCATACTAGGGCTCTGGTTATCGTACATGACGTGACTGTTGGTTGACAGTATTTATAAGCCAAACTAAGTGCAATGTAACTTTGTCATATGAAGGTGCAGTTATTCTATGATTGATATTATGATATGCTTGCATAAAATGTTGATTTGTATAGGTTTGTCTGGATTTTCTAGGCTGCATCAATAGAAGTGTGAAATTGACGACGATGACAAATTTTGTGGAGAAATTTTTAAGTTCATTAGACTGTTGGACCTTTGCAATGAGTGATTCCTGGGGCTGTATTTGACTTCAATGGATGGGAACTGCATTAGTACAATACCTTATTTGAAGTTGTGTTTCATCAGTTGCAAAGAACAGTTGGATCTTGAATTACAATGTGCAAGTCGAATAGGATTAACAACTGACAAGGATATCAGGCTTTTTCTTTTCGGCGTGCTCCCGGGAAATAATTATCATCTAGTCCCATTTGTCGGGCACTGACAGCAGAGAAACTACATTCTTGAATTGTTGCTTTTCACTCTTAATTTGTACCAACTTTGTTGCAATGCTTGCAATGTGGGCAGATTATCCTGTTATTGTGTTCCTTACATTCTTGAAACTTGTTTTGCTTGTTCTAAAGAGGCCCTTTTTTGTAATGCATACTAATTTATTGGAAAATGTATTGTTTTAAAGAGTAAGATAAATCTTGGAATTGTGTGTTTAATATTTTGGCATTATTTATGTTTTGTTACTAACTTCCATTTTTCATGACACTGATGGCATAAAAACAAAATTATGGTGAGTTTTCACTGTTAATTTGTACCAATTTTGTTGCGATTCTGGTGACCTGGGCAGACTATCCTGTTTATATGTTCCTTAAATGATGCTTCTTGAAACTTGTTTTGCTTGTTCTAAAGATGTGCTTTCCCCACTCTGCATAATATTTATTGGAAAACGTACTGTTTGAATGAGCTGAATGAATCCTGAAAATGTGTGTTTAAATATTTTGGCGTCATTGTGGGTGACTGAATATGCATTGTCCTATTAGGGGAAATTTCCACGGGGAGGTATAATTATCATATTCTGAGGGAAGAAGTTAAAACTTAAAACGTGATTGTTAAGTTGTTACATGAATTAAATTTAAGAGGAAACAAAATACCCATCATCTCTTTATTACGTTCTTGTATTTTTGTTTTCTTTTTTAAATCAATTTCCTCTAATTTTACAGAAAGTTCAGAGTGGAAACTGGAAGTAGCTTCATCTTGATAGACTTGTTTCACTTATTGGTAGGTATACAATTGATGATATTTTGTCCTGTTAATAATGTGCACCAGGTAAATGGCTGCCTATTATACTTCGACAAAATTCCTGATGGCTTTTATCTAATTCACGGGATGGATCCCTATATATGGACCATGTGCACTGATCTGCAGGAAAATGGCCGAATTCCATCAGTTGATACACTAAAGTCTATGGATCCCTCTTCTGTTTCTTCTCTTGAAATAGTTTTGGTGGATAGACGTAGTGATCCTAGCTTAAAAGAATTGCAAAACAAAGTACATGACATTTCTTGTAGCTGCATGACGACAACAGAGGTTGTAGACCATCTTGCCAAGCTGGTTTGCAATTACATGGGGTGAGTCTCCTTGGCATTATTGGCTTTGAACTATTTAGCTTACATGTTAGTCTAACTATGTGTTATTGCTATAACAAGGGGTTCAGCTTCAGTTTGGGAAGATGAATTTTTTCCCGTCTGGAGGGAGTGCATTAATGATCTGAGAGATCGCTTAGGATCTGCTGTTGTTCCAATTGGCAGTCTATCTATTGGACTCTGCAGGCATCGTGCTATATTATTCAAAGTAAGGTTCCACTTCTATATGGTGTTTAAGAGCATGTTTGGCACATATTTTTTTAAATTAAAAGCTACTTTTAAGCTAAAGTTAAAAAAAAGCTTAAAAAATAAAGCGAAAAACTGTTTGATAATTGTATAAAGTTGTTCTTAGGATATTGAAAGGAGGGAGATGAAATAATTTGTTATTAGGGTAAATTATTAGGATAAATGTTAAAATTTATAAATAAAAGTTTAGAATAAGGGTATAATTGGAAAATAAATATGATAACTCCAAAAAAGTTTGACATACATCTTAAAAAAAGCTCCTCTTGGAAGCTTTTAGCTTCTTTGTTCTTTATAAAAAAAGTTCTTTTTATAATAAGAGCTTTTGTAAAGTTATGTTTGACTAAGCTTCTACTTATAAGCAGAAGAGAAGCTAAAAATAAGAGCTCCCAAACAACACCAAGTGTAATACTCCGTTTGCAGTCGGTTAATTAGCATTCATATAATATTTAGCTCAAGCAAATTTTAAACTTAATAAATGCAGAAGCTAACTGGCTAACTTTTTCTTTTTCCTTATGTATTACAATTTTCATTGCTTCTTTGGTCAAAATAAAACGGGCAACATTTTGGCTGTATTTCGGACCACTGGGGATAATTCCCACCATGATAATTTCAACCTGATTGACAGTTTAATATAATCCAGACATAAATCATATTACCTAGCCATCCATGGCATAGGCTATACCAGACATTGCATGTCTCAAAATAATGTCCATAGAGCTACTTACATGATTACATCAACCAACTAATAGAGATGTAATTAAATAAGTAACCTAGACATATGCATACATAACTAACAAAATAGATAAACTATCAACATGGCATAGACATCTCCTATGCTAATCAAAAGAATACATGGCATGTACATATCAAAAGAATAACATCATGTCATGTACAAAATGAAATGTCAATCAAAACATGACTATCAGGTCAGACAGTATCTTTCCTTCGGCCTCTTGCTGCGCGATGCCTCAACACCATTAGCTATTGTAATGGTAATCCCCATAACGCGGGGTAAGATGATAATCTCAGGAAACTAGGGGTCCTTGGAGGGCTCCTCCACCCCCAGGTTCACTTCAGGCATAATATCACAGTATAAAAGCATATATGCATTAGAATATGTATATCAATGAATGTGTGTAATAATAAACCCTACTAGCCAGAGAATATAACAAGTATGCATTACGCAAGGAAACACAGTCTTGCCACATACTGGATGAGGAAACACCATCTCATAATATGCATAAGGAAACACCGTCTTATGTCTCATACAAGGAAACACTGTCTTGTGTGGCACTCAAACATACATACATATATATATGCAACATCTAACAAATCATTTTTAACATCTATATCAAAGAACCATCCTCTCTCGGAGTCTGGTGGAACAAACAGGGGGATTAGCCACAAGGACCGAAAGCTTACCTGTAGCTTTCACCTAAGCTTGCTTCAAGCCCAAACAAGGTGCTCCACAAATACTCGAGTATCAACTCATTTCATAACACCTATTTCAAGGTGAAGATTCACAATTAATCACATATTCATTATGTAAGTCTCATGTTAAACCATTGTTGATACTTACCTTAATCCAAATAATCAAGAGCTTTGGTCAATGTCCATAGCTTGATCTAATCCATGCTCTTGCTCCACTAGTCCACTTGGTTTTACACTATAACCAATGAACACACATCCATCAATATTCACATTTATAAACTCAACGTGAATCCTACACAAAACCAAGGTTTTTACACTTTAATATCACTTGATTTTGAGTCCAATTTATCAAAGTGTTCTAAATGGAGATTACATAATTTTTCCTTTTACGGGAACCAATACCAAGCATGTTTGACAAAGGGACTCTCCTACAAATCACCCTCCAACTACTCAACCCATCAAATTTTCGAAATTGATATATAGCCAAAAAAATCATGATTTTCTATAGTGAGCTAAACGGTGATTTCTTTTGTTGTCTTTCATCAAGAAGCACTCCTAAGCATTTTTAACAAAGAACATCATATACAAAACAACCTCTAACAACTCCAATCATCAAAATTTCGTGGTACTATTCACATACAACCTAACTTTATTGAAAATTCATGAAGATGAGATTTGAGTGGGGGAAACTTACCACAATCCGACCTAGAACGAAGGGGGAGGAGTCCCCAAGCTTTCTTGCACTTGAAACATCCCCCAAAATCATCAAAATCCTCACAAACTCGTGGCTTTGAGGAAGAAATTTCTCACTCCACAATGAACCCCAACCGAAAATGAGCTATGGGTTTGAAAGAGGAGAAAATTTGAAGTGGTTTTGGCTTTGGAATCGGTGGATTTCGTTATGCCTAGCTCAATCTACAAGCTTGTGAAGTTTTGCTCTTTTTCTTGGTTATGGAGGAGGTAGCCCACGGGAGAGACGAAGAAAATGAGAGGAAATAGTGTTTGAAACACATTTAAGTGAGTTGCTTTATCTAAGTGGGTATAAACTTATCTATCCCGCTCACTTAACTCATATCCCAACTTGACATACTAGTCCAGAATTTTTTGTGGTAATATTTACAAATTTACTTTCCCTTTTCGATTACTTTGTCTACCCACATTTTTACCCCAATATTGTCATTTTTACTCTTTTTCACCAAAGGTGACTTTAATTCATTTTAATTAGACTTCCCATCTAATTATTCTTCAATATTTATCATAGATTCTTTAATCTCGAATTTAATCCACAATTTAATGTTTGGGTCATTATACTAAGGCTGTGATTATGCATCTTGACTTTTTTTTCTTTTTGTTCAATGGTTTAATACAAGTTACTGGCTTCATGCTGTTTTTGAGATGACATGCTTTATGCACTATATCTTCAGGTACTAGCTGACACAATTGATTTACCGTGTCGAATTGCAAAGGGTTGTAAATATTGCTCAAGAGATGATGCCTCCTCATGTATTGTTCGATTTGAGCTTGACAGGTATATGTTTTGTTGCTAAGTATATATGATTTTCAGTTTATACGTAGCAGTGCAATTTAAAGAGTTGTTTTCCATGAGCTGTGACCATGGAATGATGAAAGTGCAAAATTATGAATGCACTGTAGCCTCGTGGTTAGCATTCTGTGAACTGACACCATATGATTACAGGGAATATATGGTTGATCTAATTGGGAAGCCAGGTTGCTTGTGCGAGCCTGATTCCTTGCTCAATGGTCCATCTTCCATCTCATTTTCTTCACCCTTGCGCTTTTCAAGACTTAAACCAGCTGAACCTACCATTGATTTCAGGTCATTGGCCAAACAGTATTTCTCAGATTGTCTATCTCTTGAGCTTGTCTTTGATAATGGTTCTGCAGGTGATATTCTTGTTTTCCTTTTTAATGTATGAATAAGTCCGGGCTTGTGATATTATTGCTATAATGTATCTTGAAGGATCTATTCAGTGCTTACCATTGCACTGTTTAAAAATTTAAGATCCAGGTGTCGTAGATTTTTTATTTATTTCTATTTTAATGAATGGAATCATCTTCTTTAGGCTAACTCTCCATAATTAATTTGTTTAAATTCCAAAATGGGTAAGGACTTAAGTAATGTGTTACAGCTTTCTTATTTCAATTGAATTATACCCCCTTGCTGTTTTTATCATTTTTTTTTAAATTATTTTAAATTTTACCGAGTGATTAGATAGGACCTATCTGTATGTTTGTTCCTTGTATATGTTGGCTGTAATTATTGGGCAATTTTTTTTTTCTTTTCAAACTTAAAAATGCCTAATAAAAACAAAAATGAGCTTGTTTCTGCAGTGATCTGCATTATGATGTTTAACTGAATGATGTTCCAAGTTTATTAGGGTGTACACGATTACGATTCTGTTTTTTGGCATTGTTTCTGAAAATAAATATATATATATATATATATATATATTTAATTTCTATGCTTAGGAAGAGTGTTTGGGAAAAAATATGTTTGATAATGCAACGTATTTCTATACCCAAGGAGAGAGTGTGTATTTAATAAATAGTATTTTTAATAAATAATGTGTATTTAATGCTAATAAGTAATAACACATTCTACGATGTATGTATTTAGTAAATAGTGTGTCAGGGAACAAAAAAGTAAAAAAGTTGTTTCTTATTTTTGCCAATTTGTGTTCTTGGGCAACCAGTTCATTCTTTTGAATTGAAAAATAAATTGGTTTTATCAAACACTTTTTCTAACCATTTCTGCTCCCTGGACTAAAAGTAAAGAAGAAGAAAAGGTTTCCGGAAATTGTCATGCACATCCTTATTGTTCCAAGTTGGTTTCTTGATTGTGGAATTGGGAGAACCATTCAGGTTACTTGGTCAAGTTATTGAATGCTGTTATCAAATTCCTGTTATTTTTTATGAAAAATGGGCTAAAACCCTAAACATATCATTTATTCTCTTTGTGGAATGTACTTGAATAGTGATATATTAAAGTCTTTCTTTAAATACATAAAGATGATGAGTGACTGATTTAATTTTAAATACACTTTTGAGCAAGTCAACATCTAGAATAAATAGATGTTCATGCAGGAGGTTTTATTTTAGTTATAGTTTTGCATTTGTTTCTCCAATCTGGTGTGCAATTTTGTATGTCTTAATAATTCTTATATGCTGAACTGGGTACCAAGTATAGGATACCCTGAATTTTATAATACCGGACCTGTTATTGATGGAGATTTTGGATTCTCCATTCCAGAACAGAAGTGCAGAGACAGGAATAACCGTGGGCCAATTCCAAATGATAGCAACAGAGGTTCTCTCATTCGTCCGTACCCACAAGCTTACCATCCAAGCCGGCATGATCAAGGTTCTGAAACATTTGAATCATGTAACCTTCCTCAGAACGTTGTAGAACTGACAACTGTGGAAAAGGATCCACTGCCTTTAAAGCATAACCTTCCTGGTCATAGAGATGCACAAACCCCATTAGCACTAAAAAATTTCAATGTTGATGTTATTGAGGGTAGGGGTTTTGTTGAAGGAAGTCAACTGATTCCTAGCAAACCTACTAGAGAGCTTGCCCTTGATATGGAGGATTTGGACATACCGTGGAGTGATCTTGTTTTAAAAGAGAGAATAGGATCAGGTATGTATCCTCTCTTATAAACTGCATACAATTTAAAGTTGTCTGTTTTTTTTTCTTTTTTTTTTCTGTGGTTGGGGTCGGGTGGCAGTTAGAAGAGAAACATTGTGAAAAGAGAGAGTAGGCAAGGTAATAAGTAAAAATGAGGATAAGGTAGCGTACCTAGCAATGGAAATATAAAAGAAGATGAAAATAACAAAAAGCGAGCTTATTAATGCTATAAAACTCTCCAATCCCTCTGCATATCTGACAACGAGGTTCCATTAAAAAAGTTGTGGTTCAGAGTGCCAAAGAAAAGCCATTCCAAATATCCTATTTGCATAATAGCAGTATGATAATGATGGGCCTTTGACACATGTATAAGAGGAGAAAAAGAAGGAGAGTGGGCTGAAGAGTGTTGGGGCAAGGGAAATAGTACATGTTTATGAGAGGAGATATAGGAATTCTGCTAGGAGTAAGGAAAAAACAGTGGCGGGTGTAAAGAACCAATTCAACCCAAAAGCTTAAGCTGGTGGGTGAGGGCTTTTTAATGGTTTTATATATCTCAACACGCCCCCTCACACGAGAGCCCACTGGGCTTGAAGGGTGGACAATGCACATGCCCATCTACCTGTGCGAACAAAGAAATTCCATTTGAAAGAAAGTGGGGGGCGGCGAGAATCGAACCCGGGACACGAGGCTCTGATACCATGTAAAGAACCAATCTAACCCAAAAGCTTAAGCTGGTGGGTGAGGGCTTTTTAATGGTTTTATATATCTCAACAGCGGGTGAGTGTAATAGGATGTATACATGACAGCCAGGTATTGGAGAGGAGAATTATGCAATGATGGGAGATAGAAAAGGAAACATGAATAAGGAGGGGGTGGGAAAATAGTGGAGAGGCGTAACAGAATTTTGGGAGTGAATTGGTGGCCTAGGACATGGAGGGCAGAGTCTGTGTATCAGCTCTGATTATTACATCTTGTTGTTGCATTTCTTATGTTCAGTATCTGTCTTTCAGTTTATTGAGCAGTATTTTTCCCTTGTAAAGGAGATCTCCTTCTCGAGTTCTATCCGATTTTCAGTTTTCCTAGCGGATAACAATGTGCCTAGGAAAACATGATCATTTTCCCCCAATCAAATACATCAAGAGAACTGCAAAATATCACACCACCATTTTTTCCATTGCTCCTACCAAATGCTCTGAAGTTAATTAATGAGAACTGAGCCTAAGTTAAGCACACTGTATTTGATTAATTTCTATAGTTACATGCTTCTTGTGGCATGATTTATGCAATTAATATCAGCAGTCATTAATTGAATTTGGTCTGTTATATTTTCAGGTTCGTTTGGAACTGTACATCATGCTGAGTGGAATGGCTCAGTAAGCCACTCTTTTTTTTCTTTCATTGATGCTGTATAAAATGAGATTAACTTATGGTTGGCTTTTTGTTGTTTCCATGGCATGTCTGAATATTCAGAGAATATTCGAATTCCATATTCCAAATTTTCTATTTTTATTCTATTTATTTTAATTTTTTTATTAATTTTTTTTGCTTTTTCAGCATCTGTCATTGTTTCTGGCAAATTCTAGTAAATCATATGTGTAATTAGTATAGCAATATGTGAATGATATCTCTGTATCTGTACAATAGTCACAAATCCTAAGTTCAAGTGGTTCCTAATAAATATTTTTGTAAGTTTGTTTCATAAGCATTCAGTGCTTGTAGATTATACGTACCAGGAAATTTGAAAAAAATTGTCCAGGGTGGTATTTGAAAATAAGCTGCTTCCTTCCTAGCTGGATCTAACATTTACATATTAATCTTGTAACGATCCACATTTGTACTCTTAAATTAAGAATTCTTACCACCTGTTGGTGGCTGTGCACTTCCAGGAGAACCCAGTCGATATGGTTGATTGCAGCCACTTGGCTTCCTGTTTGCCAATCTTCTTTGTTGTAACTCATTGACTACAACCTTTTTGGCATAGATTTTCCTATTGAATTGCACATAAAAGATCAAAGGTTTACTTGAAAAAATTTCGTTGTCCAAGAGAATAAATGTTTTCCATTTAGCTACTTCCCTTAATTTAGTAAAGAAATGAAGCCTTAGTGTTTCAAAGTGGCATTTTTTAATGCTTTCTTCGCTTTCCACAGGAAGGCTTCTGTGATTATAATTTTGCAGCTCTATCTTATCTAATTTTATTTGTATTTTATTAGTGTTACGATTTAGAATGCATATTTGTTTTTTTCTTTTGTTTGGTGGTGGTGGTGGAAGGGTATTGCTTCATTGATGTTTGAAGCTGAAGTAGTGCTTAATATTTAATTATGTTTCATGCATCTTTCTCCCTCTCTCTACTTGCTTGTTACATTTGGTTTTAAAGTTGGTATTGTTACATCAAAATGTTATGCACTGCAGGAGGTTGCTGTGAAAATTCTGATGGAACAGGACTTTCATGGTGAACGCTTTAAGGAATTCCTGAGGGAGGTATGCTCAAAAGTTCTTGTTTTGTGCAGAAAAAACACCAATTGTACGTAGGTATTGCTTGCTGTTGATTTGAGCACTATTTTCACCTCTTTTGCTAGGTTGCAATTATGAAACATTTGCGGCATCCAAACATCGTTTTATTTATGGGTGCTGTCATTAAGCCTCCTAATTTATCAATTGTCACAGAATATTTGTCAAGGTTTTACAACATCTCCTCTACCAGTTCCTTTACCTTTCCCCATGTAAGAGGGAAGTCTATTCATGGTTATGAGATACTTTACCCTCGAGATCTGAAGGTTTGATTGAACTAAGTGCAGGGGGAGCTTATATAGGCTGTTGCATAAACCTGGTGCCAGAGAGGTGTTGGATGAGAGGCGTAGGCTTAGTATGGCTTATGATGTGGTAAACATTCAGAAAATAAACATTGTTGTTTCTGGTTCATTTTACTTTTTGAATTAGTATTATGTCATGTCATAACCATTGTATCCATCGGTTAAGTATTTGTCATTTTCATGTGCAGGCTAAGGGGATGAATTATCTTCATAAACGTAATCCTCCCATTGTTCATAGAGATCTGAAATCTCCAAACCTTCTCGTTGACAAGAAATATACAGTGAAGGTAAGATGTTGAAAGAGACTCATTTAATGTTTGGGATAAAAGTGTTGTTGATGTTAATTTTGATGCTAAGACTCATTTAATCCATTGATCTGCCATAGCAGTATGCTTCTACTTCTCCTGCTAGCATGAATGTACTAAGATAGTCTATATTGAATGACGACACTGTTTAGCTGTCATGTCTTTTAAACATGATGGAAGATTGAATGTTACTGCAAAACTTTGTCTACCTTCACATGTTTTATAGAAGTTTCAGCATTCTGCTAATTAGCTGGGCTACTTTTGATTCAAATTTGGTGTGTTGGCAAAAATCTATTTAATATGTAAACTATATGTGCAGTGTCTTCACAATTTCTTTTTGGAGGGGGTTTGGTGGTGGTCTGTTTTCATTGATGAAGTATTTTCAATTTTCAAGAATCTTAATTTATTTGTGTCTTTCCTTTAGGTATGTGATTTTGGGCTTTCCCGACTAAAGGCAAATACATTTCTTTCATCCAAGTCAGCTGCAGGGACTGTAAGTTAACTTTCATAACATATACTTCTGCTTTCAATATCCTACGTTTGAGAGGTCATTTTTATTATTACGCGTTGAATTGTTCTCCTTTTTCTTCTGCTAGCCTGAATGGATGGCTCCAGAAGTTCTTCGTGACGAGCCTTCCAATGAGAAGTCAGATGTTTACAGCTTTGGTGTCATCTTGTGGGAGATTGCAACATTGCAACAGCCGTGGGGTAATTTGAATCCAGCACAGGTTTGTCATACATCTTTGATACATGATATTGCAGTATGCTTATGATTAGATCTTCTATTTTGATTATAGTATTATATTGCTTTGATTTTTACTAGAAACTATTTAAGATATGATGACTGTAAGAATATAACATCAAACAGCATGCTGCTGATAACAGAAATCTGAAAATGATTGCAAGAAATGTATATTGGTTGATGCATGTATCGAAAAAGTCAATGATGACAACTATACTGTTGGAGGTGTCTCAATAGTGTGCCTGAGTGTGGTTTTTGGAGTGTTATCCTCATTGAAATATAATTCTACTTTGACTAAATTTGCATGGATATATATTTTTTTTCTTTTATTCTTTCTGGACTATCAGGCTATCATTTGTGCTAGATGCAGGGCCTTTTCTGTTACTTCAGTCTTCACAAATCCACAATGTTATGTAGGTTGTGGCAGCTGTTGGCTTTAAGGGAAAAAGACTTGAGATGCCACATGATTTGAATCCACGATTAGCCTCAATAATTGAGGCTTGCTGGGCCAAGTGAGTTCAGATACATCTTTCATTTGAATTGTGCTTCAGTATTATGCATAAATTTTATTGATATCCATGGTTTACTGCAGCGAGTCCTGGAAACGCCCGTCTTTTTCAAGTATTATGGATTCTTTGAAAGTATTGCTCAAAATCCATACACCTCAACCTGGTCGTCCAAACATGCCATTGCTTACCTGAATGGTTGGAATCCTAGATGTCATTCATGCACATACTTCAAGGTTTTATTAGTGCTGATGTCTAGCAGTAGTACGCTGTTTTATTAGTCCCAGGTGCGTGCCAAATTTCATAATGACTGACCTTGCTTAGCATTAAATCTGGCTTGGACGTAGTATTTCTCTATTTTTTGTGTTGCAGTAAGGGGAATGATCATCAATTTTCTAGCGGATATGTAATCTTCTTCCAATTATTATTTGTTGGTGATTGGTTCCTGATCTTTAGGAACTGATGGTACCAGAAAACCAAGCGTGTGTATATATATATATATATATATTGATATATAACTAACAGTGACAAGCCAGATACACATTGATAACAGCAAGAACAGAGCTACAGGCCTACAGCACTCTGAATCCAGACTCAAACAATGACGTACAATGAAATAGAGAATAACAAAGAAATAGAATAAACCAAAGATACTCCCCTCTACAAGGAACAACCCACCTTGCAGAGAAACCCAATTCCCCTTTTCCTGATTACGCAATTTTCCTCTCCTCAGTCCTCACACCTCCTTCCTTTTGTCCTACTCTTCTAATAATATTCTAGAATATTACCCTAACAAACTAACTAATTCACTCACTAACTATGGACTCCTTTGCATTGCTGGATATGGGCCCACTAGTCATAGCCCAACAATACTCCCCCTTCAAAATTTTCCTTGTCCTCAAGGTGAAGAAAGAGGATAAGTGATGTGGTCGAATTGCCTCCGGGATCCCATTACTTGAAGCACCTAGACCACATTGGAAGCTTCAATTCCATGGGCTTACCATGAATCTCACCCAATCCCTGCGTTGATCCTTGTCCTTCCACACCTTCTGTCGCAGCTAACTTATAGTGTATGATTTGTTTCATTGGGCCAAAGTTGAATTCCAGCTACTCCATCACCTGGATCCCATTGTTTGAAGCTTGTTGACCAAGTTAAGCTTGAAGCCAAAAAACCGCCACTGCCAAATCCTATTGCCATCTTGCCTCCATTCAACACCTGTGCTTTGTGTCCTATAACATTTATGATTGAGAAACAAGATATATTTTCATCCTGTTCCCGCTCTGTTTTCAGCCTATAACATTTATGATTGAGAAACAGGATATATTTTCATCCTGTTCCCGCTCTGTTTTCAGCCCCATTTCCTTTTCCAGCACTAGTTTGCATGTTCCCATGAGCTTGTCAAGAAGATTGGAGTTTGAACAAACTTGATTTTGCGAATTTGTAGTGTCACAAATGAACCAGAAGTTGCGCCGCCATCATTCCACCATCTTCTTCGGCGACAACTTCCTGAAGCGCGCGCTACTCTGGTTACCGTCTGCTGCAGTAACTATGGACGTTCCTTGCATTGACCTTTGTCCTTACCTCTTTCATTTGAGCCCTTCGCATGTGAATGTTCATCGGACCCATTTCTTCTTATCAGCATATTTTCCCATCTTTGGGTATAATTTCGTGGGCCTAAGGAGTTGAGCCCACATCAGTTATTCCCTTTTGACAAATTGGGCCTTCCATCTTCAATTACGCCGGCCCATGTCAAGGGAGTGGATTGCATATAGTGTCCATGGCCATTTGATGAACCACTGCTCACAAGCTTGTTGGATAATCCGACCCGGTTGTTAATTGTTTCTCTTTCTTCAACCTTCTGACCTAACGTCTTTATGCGTCCCAAATTAGACAAGAGCCTCTCCTCCACCCCTATATCCTTCTTCACGTGTCCAAGCGGCATCGACAACAACTTATAGTGTTCCTCGCTGATTACGTCTTCCTTTTCGCCTTCCTCTTCTTCTGTTTTGTCTTCTTCGGCTTCTTCCTTTATTTCTTCTTTTTTTGTTCTTCTGCAACTTCCTCTTCTACTGCATCGGCTTCTTCTACCGTTTTTCCTATTTCTTTTTCGTTGGCTGATGCTTCTTCTTCTTTTGTAATTTCTTCTGATCTGGCATCTTCGGCTTCTTTTTCTGAGCTTAGATCTGCTCCCTCTCCTTCTTCGTTTTCTTGCGTTTCTTCCTTTTCTTTTTTTTCTTCTCCAGTTTCTTCTGCACCTCCAACTTCGTCCGATGCTTCTTCAATGTGTCGATTTACTTCTTCCGCCTCTGCTGCCTCTTTTTCTTCTTTCTCTACCATATAAATCTCAGGTGGATATTTACTTATAAATGCCCTGGTAAAATCCCACAATTTTGCATTAGGATTGAGACAATTCCAACACCTATACCAGTAGAGCGCACATCCTCTAAGGCCACTCAGCGTTTCTGCCAATTGTTCATCTTCTTCATTTATTTGCTTTTCTTGAAAATGTTGTTCCATAGCAATTTTCCATCCCCAAGCGTCGTCTCCTTCTCCATAAAATTTTGGAACCATTATAAATTTGTATTCTCTCTCTCTTTCTTTCTTCTTCTTCTTTTTTTTTTTTTTAGATCTGGACCAGAAAGCACCCCCCTAGATCGGAAGTGCTCTGATATCAAATTGATGGAACCAGAAAACCAAGTGCATGTATATATATTTTGATATATCACTAACAATGACAAGCCAGATACACATTGATAACAGCAAGAACAGAGCTACAACACTCTGAATACAGACTCAAACAATGACGAACAATGAAATAGAAAATAACAAAGAAATAGAATAAACCAAAGATACTCTCCTCTACAAGTTTCAACCCACCTTGCAGAGAAACCCAATTCCCCTTTCATGATTACGCAATTTTCCTCCCCTCATTCCACACACCTTCCTTTTGTCCTACTCTTCTATGAATATTCTAGAATATTACCCTAACAAACTAACTAATTCACTCACTAACTATGAACTCCTTTGCATTGCTCCACTAGTCATAGCCCAACAGGAACAAACAGAATCTTCTTATTCTGTCCATTATGTACAGCTAGGTGTAGTTAGTAGTATTTATGTTTAGAGATGTTCCAACTGTAATTTTTGGTTACCAATTAGGGAGAGATTGCCCCTCCTATAATTTGGACATAGATTAGTGTACAACCTATTTCCGGATTCCCTATTTATACTGCAATCCTATAATCAACAAAATAAGGAGAATACAATAATTTCTTTATTGTTATTATTATTGATATTATTATTTGTGGTGAACCAACTATCTCAAAAGTTAAGTTTTTAGGTGAAGACACATGGATGATTTTATACTTTTTTAACATTTCTAATAAGCCCCTAATGCTAAAGTCCTTTGGACTTGAAGCAGACAATGCACAAGATTACTTACCTTGTGCTTAAATTTATCCTTTTTTTATTTAGAAGGATTGAGCTCTATTAACACTTGATCATAGAAGCTTTGTACCATCTTATGAACCAACTATCACAAAGCTTAAAAAAACATGAATGACTTTGTACTTTCATAACATTTTTAACAATTATTATTAGGGCAAAATGCAAATTACACCCTCCAACTACTGGGGTTGTGAAAAAATAAACCAACGTGCTTTTAAATTCAGCAAAACAACTCCTCATGCTCACCCGAATGTGCATATCGACCCTTCTGTTAGTGCTCTATCCTCCTCACAAATAGTAAGCACATCACATGACCTCACGTGCCCATTCCTTGCCCTATTCTTCCAAATTTGTTCTCAATCTTAGTTCGGAGAGATATGGACAGCTTGGAACATACTTCTGGAGTGAAACATGTTGAGGATCCTTCACATGTTTGGGTTGCCGAAACATATGAGGAAGGGAAGAATACAACTAAGGTTAAGAAAAAGAGATAGAGAAGGCCAAGTATCCTAAGGGGTTTAACCCTGCACACCTAGGTCCTCTGCCAGATTCAAAATAGATCAACTTATAAGCCTATGAAGAAGGACAAAAGAGCTGCTCAGAGAGGCTCTCAGGGTGATGTACTTAGAGGAAAACACGATGCTGATGCCTCTTCGAACAACTAAAATCCAAGATCAAGCCTGGCAACTGCCTCCTACAAAGGAGTTACAGAGAATGCAGTTTCTGAGCATACCAAGCCTTCATCCTAGTCGAGAAAGAAGTCTACGAATTGGCTAGGAATCATGGTTTTTGGTAAACATTTTTTATTTGAGACAATTTGTTAGTGCTACTTTCATTGATTCGGCTGAAGGCCAAATACGATAACACGTGGGTTCAATTCAAAACCTTGACTCCATCAGTGCTGTTACTGGTGTGCTTTCCGTTAGTAAGGTGGACAGAGCACTAAAGGAAGGGTTAATATGAAAGTTTGGGGTGAGTATAAGGAGTCATTTTGGTGACTTTAAAAGTACATGGGTTTTTTTTAGCACAACCCCTATAATTGGAGAGGGGTAATTTGCATTTTGCCCTTGTTATTATTATTATTTTGTTTAAAGTAATAATATGCTGAAGCGCAGTTGCAACTCAAGCAAAATTAGTTAAGAGGCTTTTTTATTTATTTGATTTATTTATGTGTGTAGGAGAGGGGCTTTGGTGTTATCAATGTACTTTGTCCCTGATGGTTGTTGCTTGTAATGGTCGCGCATGTCTAAGCTCTGGTGATCAAACTAATACTCGTTCTTGTTTTGGTTGCAGAGGCACAGTTGTATATTTCTGTTCTAATTCGATTAAGAATACCGATTTTTGACGCAAAGCATGGATCCTCCATCTTTATTCCAACAAAATATTTTGATTACTGTACTAAAAAAAAAATTTGTTTGATTAGTGATCCAATAATGTCGTGAAGAAATGTATAATTTTTTTCATCCATATTTTTGTATGTAAAATGATTCCAATTGTAATTAGATTAGATTCAGTTAATGAAAAGCAACTTTGACGGCAATGTACGCCTGTGTTTTGTTTTGGGCGTGCTATTCATGCCCCCTTACTTCAGAGAGTCTCCTCGCTTTTGGGGATTGAATTCAACATTCAAAAAATGATTAGGCTAGCTACCGTCTTGCATTTGCTTCGAATATGGGCAAATTAGTATTTGTGTCAGTTCTGTGATCTGGTAGAAGATTCAACCTATGACTTGGTCATGAATAGGATTAGGCCGTGTTGGATGACTGATAAGTTGGCAATTTTTTTGAGTTAATTTATTTTTAAAAGCACATAAATGATGTTCTAACTTCTATCTATTATTAAATTTTGATCAATTAAATTCATGATGTATTAAATTAAATAACCAATTAATATATCTTATTTTATAAATAAATAATTTTAAGAGAGTTTTATCTGGAGTCTGTAATTGGGAATTCGGTTCCAAGCAGGCCAGCACTTTAAAGGTATTATTGGCAATTTGGCATGTATGGAAGCATGTAGAGTAGTTACTATATTGATTTAGTTCAAATTGAGTATGATAACTTTTATTATTTGTACAATAACAGAATAACTATATGACTAAAACTAAAGAAAGATTTGGGAGTGGATTTTCTAATATTTTTATGAAAATTTTACATTTATCTCTTTTCCTTAGTGTTAAATGAATGAGATTCAATTATAATTATAATTTTTAAAAAGAGATAGAAACAAATATTTACAAATAAGTAGAGTGAAAGGCTTAGGGAGGATCAAACCATCTGAGTTTGCTTCGAGCAGTGGTTGTCTCGGTAGCATCCCATCACACACATTTCACGCCACTTTTCCTTCTTTGTCCTTATTCTTATAAGGGTTTTAAATATATAATGTTGCAGGGAAAAAAAAAGTGTGTCGTGCAACAGGTACAATAACGTCTTTTTACACTTTCTATGAAATTCTTTTATTTTTTTTCTTTCTTCTTCCGATGAGAAGACTAACTTACGTTCACCATCGCTCCATCGTGGTCACGCTCCACCACCACCGTGCAACACCAACCATTCTTATTTTGTGTAAAAATGATAGAAAGGATAACTTACCTCAAGACTACCGGGCATGACGCTAGAAATCTACAAAAAAAGATAAATAGAAGTTCACGGAAGGGATTATGTTTAATTCTCATCCATAATCTTCATGTGCCAATCGCTAAGGCATCTCGCTGGACAGTGGCAGTCGGGCTTCAATTTTTTTGCCGGAACACGTGTATTTATTTTTTTTAATTTTAAATAGTTCATATCATAATATATTTAAATTATATTAAATACAGAACATCTGAGTAAGCAGTATTAAGAAGAGTTATAATTTTGTTAAATATTTTTTAATTTTACTAAAAATAATTTATTTATTTTATACAAGTAAAAATTAGACACATAACTTATTACAACTTAACCAAAATTTTCACCAAAAATATTTGAAGTTTTACATAAGGCCAAATTATAAATTGTAGCCTGGGCTAAATTACAATTTTAATTCGAGCCAAATTATAATTAATTATATAATTATATATAATAAGTACAATTTGTTAAAATTTAACCCGGATCAAGGTCACACTCACACTACACGTGGCTCCGCCACTGTCGCCGATATAATCATCACTAAACAAGATTATTGGCTAATAATTGAATAAATATATCAAAGGATAATTTCAATAAGTGCTATTATTAACATATTTACTTCAATAATTCATATAATAATTATAAATTTTATTTTAATTATCACAATCTAAAAACTTAGGAAGGTATTCCTTATCAAGGTCAATTAAATAAATTTCATTTAGTAATTATAAATATTAAATTATCAAAATATTAAGTTAATAAAATAATTATGGATAAATTAAATAATCATCAAACACACATATACGTATATTGGAATATATTATCTCATTAAAATTTCACATGACATTTTCATAATCTGTCTTTTTATAAACATTAAATATGTGAGGTACAGTCAAAATTTATGAATATTCATAAAATAAAAATAAGCATAATTTTTTTCCATTACACAAGTGATAAAATCAACACACAAAAAATGTGAAAATTACTAATTTTCAACCAGTAAAATCAATTAAGCCCGGCTCTAGTGGTAGTAAATACTCTCATCTGGTGTTTGGTACAAGGGTATCACAATGATTATTGGTGAACTTTTTTTGGTAAACATTGATTCTCATGTTTGGTAGAAGTATCAAAAATCAATTCCTGAGTATCCAAACTTTACCGGTAAAGCATTTTACAAAGAAAAATTACTGTTTGTATTACCAAAAATTAGGCTATTTTCATGATTACTGAGGGAAGGGAAAACAGATAACATATTTTTAAGACAATAATACTCCCAACACATATCAAATTAGTAAGTCTGGTGTCATTGAAAAGTTAAGGTTAGTTTTGTAAAATCAACATATATTACCATTGATATTTTACTCACAACCAAACATATGCTTAGTAAAATTATTAAATATTTCCGATAATATTTACGTCAACCAAACAACTTTTTTATATAATTCCCGGTAAATTAAATTTTTTTGTATATTACTGAATGTCATAATTCTCGAACACACAAAAATTTTTGTTGAACCAAACACACTCGATTGTCTAGTGCAATTAAATTCGCGTCAAAATAATTAGACCGCAGTGAAAAAGGTCACTATACTAGTGCTCTGTCTCTTTCAGGCTCCATCTATCTCCAACCAATGAATCCTATTGGCTAACCTTAACAAAAATATCCAACTGTTTAAGTGAGTTCAGCAATTGCAGTGAGCCAGTGAGCCAGTGACCACAACCACAACCACAAGAAGATGGAGATGTAAGCTTCATTGGGCAAACGTAAATGCCTGGGAATAAAATCTAACTGGTCGGTGCTTCTCTGTCCATTTCAATGGCCTATTGCTTTCATTGTTACCACCGCCTTTCCACCCTCTTAACACTGCTATCAAATCTCACATCCCCCATTTATATATAAACCTCCAAAAGTGCAAACCATTACCCCTTACACTATACTTTGTCCTGTAACCCTCACTCTTCAAGATTTTTCCTCGTAACAATATGAACCCAAAACAAGTAAATGACTTGAAGGGTAATGCTAAAGCCCCAGAGGGAACAACTGGTTTCTCTCCCATTCAGTTGGGTTCTGATGAAGCATTTTCGTCAAGCTCTACTCTTCTAATGGGGGATGTTGGACTTTCTGGGTCTCTTCCTTTGTCTCCTCATGAAGCATTATCAACCATGAACCTGACATCAAGCTCTAAGTTTGAGAGTGTGCCACAGCCTCTTGAATGTTTGCAAGTGAACCCAGTTCCGCCATTTCTGTCCAAAACTTTTGATCTAGTGGATGATCCATCGCTGGATCCGATTATATCCTGGGGCTCCACCGGTGAGAGTTTCACAGTGTGGGATCCTACCCAATTTGCAAGACACATCTTGCCAAGGAATTTCAAGCATAACAATTTCTCCAGTTTTGTTCGCCAGCTAAATACTTATGTGGGTATTGCGGTAACACGGCCTGTAAGGGATGCTGTGCACTCTATGAAAATGATCTTTCCTATGTTTTTTTTTTTTTTTTTTGAAGAATTGTTTTCCTATGTTTGATGTTTGTATTGCAACTGGTTTGATGAAGAATCAACCGTGCATATGAGATTGAAGACACTGTTTTCTCAACTGGGAATGTAAAAATCTTGAGGCATTTTGCTGGTCTATCATAAGTTTTGTCTTGATGCATAAGATATCGCTTTTAACTAAGTTGTCTGAATATATGTAGCTTTGGAATGATTGGATGTTTATTTGCAGGTATAGTGAGTAAGTAATTTGTGTTATTTGCTGTTTTTTGTGTTTTCTTATTTGTCATTTGTTATAAGTGAACTTTCATGTTATGGTATTTTCTCTGTAATTCCCGCTATCTTGAGGTATGTGATTGTCATCTCTCAGGTGTTACGTCTTGTTAATGCTTATTACTATAACTGATGGAGCTGAATGATAAAATAAAACTATGGTTCAGATATTAAGTCCTATGTGGATTTTAGTACTAGAACTGGCAGCAGAAGGAATATCTCTCAAAGTTTCTACTATAGTTGGAATTTCATCCTCCTTGCCATGGGGTCCCTTCTATTTTCTGCTCCATTCATTCTCAAATCACTTGGTATTTGTATCCAGGGATTCCGCAAGATTGACACTGATAAGTGGGAGTTTTTTAATGAAGCTTTCCAGCGAGGAAAGAGACATCTTCTGAAGAACATCCAAAGGCGCAAGTCACCTCAATCCCAGGATGTTATTAGCTATATTGATATTGGGCCTTCCACTAATGCAGAGAAGTCTGGTCTTGAGGTTGAGATAGAAAGACTAAGGAAGGAGAGGAGTGTGTTAATGCAAGAGGTGGTTGAATTGCAGCAACAGCAGCAAACAACAGTTGATCGTGCAAGACAAGTGAATCAGAGGCTCCAATTTGCAGAGCAGATACAGAAACAAATGGTTTCTTTCTTGGCAAAGTTATTTGAAAACCCAGACTCTCTAACCCACATTAAGCATGAGAAGGAACAGAGAGATATAGGTTCTCCTAGAGGTAGAAGGAAGCTTATCAAGCAGAACCAACGCCAAACAGGAATCTCAGATTCTTTGAAGAAAGTGCAGATTGTGAGACACCAACCTAATTGGAGAAACATAACCATCTCTTCTGAAATACCATATCCAAATCCAGTTTCCATTGAACAATCTCCTCATTACCTTTCACAAGGTTTGGCAAGAGAAATGAGTGAAGGTGCAAAGAATCTGACTCTGCAGTTTGAAAATGTTGTATCAGATGAATTGGCTGTAAGTGTAACACATGAGGTTATGCCAACTTTTGACATCATAGGAAAAGGGTCATCAAACTTTGGACTTGAAGATCCCCTTTTCAAAGGAAAAAATGTCATGAGGCCAAATCAAGAAGTTCTTGCAGGGAACAAGGAGAAAGAATTTCTAAAGTTTTCGCCTCTTGGAACTGAAAGCATCATCAAGCAAGAAGAAGATATATGGAACGCCAGCTTTAATATTAGAGGCACTCCTTCAAGCTCTGGTAATGAACCGTGGGGAGATCCAATCAATTATGAAGTGCCAGAATTTGGAGATACAAGTGGAATGGCAAACATGTGGAATATTAGCTCTCTGCAAGCAAAAGGAAGTTTCCCAACTGATGAATCTCCTGACACAAAGTCAAGCTGATCAGTCAAAAGATAATGGATTTGGATCCTTTCACGTGTAGAAGTGGTCATGTGATCATGTTATTTGATCACAACCACTCATTCATGATGATATAACAGAGAGAAAAATATATGATTTTTAAATGAGTGGTTGTAATCAAATAACATTACTACATAATCAGTTTTTCACGTGAGAGGATCCAAATCCAAAAACAATAGAAATAAGAACGTCTATACATAGGATCTCATCTGATTCTGCACTTGTTGCCATTGGATACTTTGATGTATTTAGTTCCTAGGTTGTCACTGTTGTTCATTCACTAATCACCAGGTTGGCAGGTTTCATTCATTTAGATTAGTTATGTACCTAATTTGAATATTGTTTTCCGTAGATTCATATAAAGTTATAATTAATATTAAGATTTTTTATTTATATGAAAATTGAAAAATATCTGACAAATATGTAAGATATAAGAGATATTTCTCTATTTTTTTTTTTAAAGTTGGAACAACCCGTACGTCCTTGGTAAGAGAGATATATATTTTTGATAGGAAATTAAGAAAGTCATGCAGTGTTAAATGAAATAGTTATTTAGCAAATTCTTATGAGTTATAAACACTAGAATCGTAGATTAAGAGGCCTGGTAGAGATGTAACTATAATGGGGAAGAGTTGTAGGATTGAGGAGATTGAATGTGCTCCCTAACATTATTTGTAATTTGTTTTGAGGGCAAACTCTTCTCATTTGTGACATACATGCTGGGCCAAATAAAGCTTCTCTAAATTATTATTACTATTTTTTTTATACTGATTCTAATTATTATTTTAAAACAAATTGATTTTTGGTATTTTTATAAATTTTAACTCTTGAAACGGTTATAAGAATAATCTCAGTTCGGGGCTAAATCATAATTAATCCGGATTTCTCAAAATTACTTTTAGATGTGATATTATTATACAAGCCCTTGTAAAAGATCATTCTATCTTATAAAGTATAAAACTAGAGAGGAAAAATTAATTAAATAAAATATAATTAATCAAGAATAATAAAGTGTCCATACAAAGCAAGTATTGCATGTCAGTAAAAGAAATAAAATAGGAAAAAAGTATCATGTGTTAGTACTAAAAATTAAGCGATAAGAACTTAGATAAAAATAAATAAATAATTAAAATATTCTACATGTAAAAAAAACATACGTATCATGGATTAAGTGTTATGCTAATAAAATTGAACAAGACGATTTATTGGGATTCAAAACTAACACTTACTAAATAAAGTATATAATAACCCCTGAGGGTAGCTCAGTTGGCAGCTGAGCTCTCAAGGAATTGCTTGGTGCAGGAATCAAACCCTGTCTCAAGCAATAATATGCAACTTCTTAACTGCTTGTTTAAATTAACTTATTCTGCATTTAAATATTTTAATAGGATGAGTCATTTGATTAACTTATTCTGCATTTAAATATTTTAATAGGATGAGTCATTTGTTTGGAGACACAAGGGGAAATAGAATATGCAACTTCTTAACCAGAAAAAAAAAATACGTAACTTATTTGTTGCTTGTTTAGATTAACTTATTCTGCATTTAAAACACCTTATAATTAAAAGTGATTTGAGAGAACATACAATAAAAAATAATCAAATTGAAACATGCTATTAGTACCATTAGGGTGGAATGTTAGTTTTGCTGTGAGAGCTGGCAAAACGGGTTCGGCGGGCCAACCCGCCCAACCTGTTAAACGGGGTGGGACGAGCTGAGTTTTTCAATCCATCTCAAAAGCGGGGCGGGTTGATGGCGGGCATAAGCGGATCGAGGCGGGTCAGTGTAAAATAGGCTCGGGCTGGCGGGCAACCCACCAAACGGGGCGGAGCGGACTGAGTTTTTGAGTCCACTTTTAAAAGCGGGGCGAGACAGACTGACTCATTTTTTGACGAGTTGATGGTGGAATAAGACGGAGGCAGAGCGGACCGCCCACTTTGCCACCTCTAACTGTGAACCTTGGCATCCGTGTGCCAATTCCTACGAGCAATGCTGTAGGTGTAACTTTTTAGACATAATTTAATTAGCAATTTTCTAATTCATCTAAAATTATAAGGAAATTTATATTTATAAACTATTTAATTTATAAATCCTATTAATTAAATCTTAATTATTAATTTTCGTCAATCTAACGATTATAATTTATTGAGTCATATTTATTAATTAATTATTAATTTTCAATAAATTATAACCATTAAATTAACAAAATTCAATAATTAAAATATGATTGTAAGAATTTATAAACTAAATAATTTATAAATATAATCGTTCTTTTCGTCTATTTTAAAGCTGAAGTTTTAGTTTTTTTTTTCTGTTAAAAATATGACTCACTTACCGAAGCATTTAACCCTTGTAAAGAACAACATAATTTTATTTTCATAAAATTTTCAATTTTTTTATTTTAACACTTCTGTACAAAAATTTGATATTTTAACAATTTTGTACCAAAGCATTAACCCGCCAATTGAGAGACAACTCTTTATTTATTATATATTGACATAAAATACTGATAGTTAGAGGTGTTAAATCCGGGCCGAGCCCATCTCATCTTCCAAACGGGCGGGTTAGTCCGCCAACACGTTTTTTTCTCTCTTATATTTACTATCTAACAAACTATGTTGCTGAGACAATATGCATCTCATCACTATTTCTGTTATATGGATTGTTGTATATGAAGATATTTTATTATTGATTGAGTGCATCCACGACTGGTAATAATTGTTCTGAATAGTATTGAGCGCAAAAATTTTTCCTCATTTTTCGATGATCTATTTTTGGTAGAACAATTTGCATCTCATATTCTTATAACTTTTGATGTTGTATGCATTACTGTATATGAAAATAATCAATTATAGAGTACATAACTATTTTTTATTTGCATAAAATACTGACACAATTCTTTCTATTAACGATAGACGCCGACAAAATTTTTGATCATTTTTTTCCGATCGTCGCACGAATAGTATATATCTATTTCTAAAACAATTACTTTATTTTAATAACATGAGAGAGAATCATTAGAATGATAATATTTAAAATATTTTAATAATTTACCAAAAAAAAAGTTAATAATTTTTTAATCCTTAAATAAATATTTTGAAGCGTATCATCTATTTTTTATACATCGTTTCATATTTCTTATGTTTTTTTTATATAGTTAATATAATTACTTTAATTACTTTTTCTAATTTCTGAGATAAAAAATTACTTTGAAATACATTAATATTTTCTTATTTGTATTCACTTCTTATAACGGGAACATTTTTTTTTTAAATCTGGAACAGTGATTTTCTAAAATAACACTTTCGAGAAAACAATAATTGCGTTTTGGATCTGATAAGACTAGTGTTACTTAAGGTGATCATATCAAGCTGTTAATCATAAAAGATAAATTAATAATGATAGTTTTGTAATTATTTATCTTAATTTTTTTTCTCTATATGATTATAATTTTTCTGTTATATGATCATGTTAACTATGAAGATATACTCTAAATAATAATGAAAAATGTTATATTTATAAATTAAATTATTTCTAATTAATAAAACACACTTAAATAAAATATTACCGATCAGAAACAACGTAGTTTATAAATTTATAAGAAAAAATTATAATATAACTGAACAATAATAGTAAAACTGCTGAATCCAATAACTAAATCAATATACTTCACAGTAAAATTAAAAATAAAAAAACCTCCATTTTAAGATTCAAGTAAGGTCACAGTTCCGTTCAATGTGTGAAGCGAGCTTCACTCCACTCGCATGCGTTTATTCACACATGTAATCCCAATCCCAATCCCAATCCAAGCCTTCTTATAACGTCCAAGCCCCTTCTCTTCTACCTTTCGTACTCTCTCTTTCTCTCTTATCTATTTATTTTTTTTAGTTTTTTTAGTTTTTTTTCCATTCATTCACGCGAATTGGGATTAGGGTTTATCTCAAATCTCATTGTACAATTTTGAATCAGGGGTGTTATTCTAATTTATTTCCCCCCCCTCCACTTTGGCAATAAAATATACGTGAGAAGCAATAATCGGGGTGCTATGTTCATACTGTAAATCTAGTCCCTCCAAGTTCGTCATGCAATTAAGAGTTTATTAGGTTTAGGATTAGGGTTTAAGATTCGTTGTATTTGATTTGAATGGACATGGAGAGCACGCGTAGATCGTTGGATAGATCGAGAGAACCGGGCGCCAAGAAGCTCCGATTGATCGACGAGCTCGACCGCGGTTCGAACCCCACTGCCCGACCTTTTCCTCAGCGACAACAACCGGGGTCTGGGGTGGTTACTACTACGGTGGCGTCTGCGAGGTTTCGAACAAACGACAGAAACTCCGAAAGCAGCGATTTGGGTCGCGGTGGTGAGTACCAGCCGCAGCCACCGCCGCACCAGGAGCTTGTGATTCAGTATAGGACCGCGCTTGCTGAGCTCACTTTCAACTCGAAGCCGATAATTACCAACTTGACTATAATTGCTGGAGAGAACCAATCTGCTGCCAAAGCAATTGCTGGGACTGTTTGTGCTAACATTCTAGAGGTGAACCTCAGTTTACACTCTGCGGTTGTTTCTGTTATGTTTCAATTCTTTTTCAGTTTGTGGCGCGGGTTGCTGATTGAATTGAATATTGTAAGAGGCTTGGGATTAAAAAGGGCACTTTGACTTGATCTTTTATGTTGTTATGTTGAGTGGTGTTATTGATTGTTAAGCTATGCATTGCCGTTGATTTTACTGGAGAAAGCGGTGAGGATATTGTGTATTACAAGTTTGGAATTAGTGGAATAAATTGGATTAGTGTTGTAGCCATGTGGAAGCTTTATGATATAATGGTGAATGCTAGTTTTTAAAAAAAGGTTTTTATGATTCATCCAATTTCATTGCATTTCATCGGTCCTGTCAAGGCTTTTAGATGTATGTTGGCTGGGCTATGGTTGAGGTTCTTAAGTTGTACTCTCTGCCCTGCACCTGAGAAGAAATAAAAGCACACATTGTTTTCCAATCGGAGTTACAAAGAAAAAAAAATAAAAATTATGCTTTTGCTTGACGATGGCAGTTTGGTCAATTTTGAGTATCATACTGTAGTGATTCAATATGCTCCTGATAAGCAGCATAATTCGAGAGTGGTACTCCACAATTCTCCTGGTGTTCTCTTGACTCTGTATGCAAATGGGATTAGGAAACTTTGGAAATGGGTTTTTTGTGTAGGACATAGGGAAAGAAAGGAATACTCCACAGTTTCCAATCTCAGATAGTGCTGAAGTCCACTTTTGGGGAAATTTGATGCTAACAGTAATTGGATTATATGTTTTTGGTTTCGTATGTTTTCCTTGTTTACATCTGTCAGGGCAATCTTATTTCTAGCTCTTTGCTCATTTGTGTCTTTTTGTTAGACCAAAAAGAGTTCATGTTTCATCCAATTGTGTTGATGACTTTCCAGGTTCCAAGTGAACAAAAGCTGCCCTCACTTTATCTCTTAGACAGTATTGTTAAGAATATTGGGCGGGATTATATAAAATACTTTGCTTCCAGACTACCTGAGGTCAGATATCTATTCTCTTTAGCTTCCATTGACCTTCATGCCTTTACTTTAATATACTTAATACTTATTATGGTCTATGGTGAATCCTTCAGATTGTGAAGTTATGAAATTTTACGCTGAACTGTTTCAATTTGGGCTGGTTACATGGATAATATTGTAAATTTTTTTGCATTTCCATTAAAAATGAATAATCTAACTATTATGAAATGGAAACAGTTTTTCCCTTTGTCTTTATCCTGTGATATATTTTCTAATTTTATACACCTATTTTTAACTAGGTACTTGCCAATTACTCCTTTACATTTTAGGTATTCTGCAAGGCATACAGACAGGTTGATCCTAATGTCCATTCAAGTATGAGGCATCTTTTTGGAACTTGGAAAGGAGTATTTCCTCCTCAGACCCTTCAGATGATTGAGAGGGAGCTTGGCTTCACTCCTGCAGTCAATGGTTCAGCTTCTGCTTCTGCTACACTTAGGAGTGATTCGCAGTCACAACGCCCACCTCATAGCATCCATGTGAATCCCAAGTATCTAGAAAGGCAGCGTCTTCAGCAGACCAGCAGGGTAGGTGAAAAGATTGCACCTAAAACTTATCCTTTAAAGATTTGATATATTGGATTTGTTTGGAATACGTCAATTGGACAGTATTGCAGAATTTTTTTTGTGATGAGTTGGAATATGCATCATGTGTTCCTTGGATGATTAAACAGGACCTGAAGATGTCATTGGCATGAAATTTGATCTTATCTATTGCTTATTGGCATGAATTTTCCAGTAAACTGATTTAGATTCCTTTATTCTCCTTAATTATGAACCATCTTGATTCCTGTTATATTCTGGGTTGTGTGGTTCCTTTAATGGATTGGCATATGATATTTGTGCTATTAATTGTGTTAGATTTTAGTTAGAAAGTAAGATTTTGATGTGCCATTACAAGCCTTCATACATGTAGTAACGCCATCATCCATATCCTTGATTGCCTCTACATACATTAAAGGTGTTTTTTTACTCCCAAGAACCCACCATAGAACCTTCCTTGGAACCCTATTAAACGCTCTCAAGATCAATAAACCACAAGGGTTCCAAGGAAGGTTTTGTGTAGGTTCTTGAGAAGAAAAAAGTACCTTAGAGGCAATCAAGAATATGTATGATGATGTTACTACATGTTTGAAGGCTTGTAATGACACATCAAGTTATTTTTCAAACACAGTAGGTTTACACCAAGGTTTATATTGTATCTTTGGCACTTAATTCTTTTGTCATGTCCTTTGTTATGTCATGAAGACTAAAGGAGTAGCTAATGACATGACTGGAGCTATTTTAAACTCAAATGAGGACTCAGAGAGGCCAGAAAGAGCTTTGAGTGCTGCACGACCATGGTTGGATCCTAGGGTTAACATGCAGGTAGGTGAAGTAATTTTTCTCTTCCTCTTTATACTATTTAGTTGTCATATTTTAATGTTATGGTGTATATTGCAGAATAATCAGCGCACTCAGAGAAATGCATTTAATGATTCTATTCCAGAAAAGAGCATTGGTGGAACCTATGGAGGTAATGAATATAGTTTTGATATTTTAAATAATTTGGGGTTGGGGTGGAAGAACTGGAAGTAGGCCCATTGAGTTAGGACATGACAAAACTTGGTACAAAGCAGGTGATGTTGCGGAGACCACATCTGGGCAAAGAAATGGTTTCAGTCTCAAGCATGGTTTTTCGAATCATGAAGCACCAAAGTCCATGAATTTGGATGCACCTCGTCAGCCAACACAAAACTTAACTAACATAAGGAGCAATGTGATGTCAAATAACTGGAAAAATTCTGAGGAAGAAGAGTTCACGTGGCGTGAGATGAACTCTGGTTTGACTGATCATGGTGCATCCAGTGTCTCTAACAACTTGAGCGCAGACCCATGGATGGCTGATGATGAGAATTTGGTAAGCTTGCTAAAATAAAGGCTCAATTGAACTTTCACACCCAAATTTATTCATCCAATTGCAGGTTTCTCCCAATTTACAAAAATGAAGTACATTATGCTTTGGTTTAACATGATATTGTTTGAAATGTGTCCCATGTCCTCCAAATTAGTAATTAACTCTTGCAAATTTGTGAAGCAGCAGTAGACAAGTAATTTTTTTGCAAAATAATTATGACCTATTTACTCTGTCTGATTATGATCAGAAGACTCCTCAAGGGATATAAGCTTGTTATTTTTGGCACTTTTCAATCATCATTTAGAGTCCTTGTTTTTCCTCTTAAAAAGTCTTTGTTGAGTGTAAGTTTCTTCTAATTATGAGAATCATTCCCTAACTCACATTTCAGAAAATCATATTAAAGGAGCAAAGTTTTTGGTGTTAATTGCAATAGGACTAATGAAATAGGGTGGTAAAGTGCAGTTGGCCCATAATAATAAACTTTTGTGTCGGATTGATGTAGAATAGAACTGGGACCAAGGAACAATGTTTCGAAACAAAAAAAATTATAATTAATTCTCTATATGGGTGAACTCCCTTACATACTAATTATGTTAACTAAAACACTAATTTATCAAAGATGATCTACCCAAATTTCTATTCTAAAGATCCTAAGACAAACTAAAAGATAAAACCCTAATTTAACTTGGCATAAGTTATTGCGGGATCCAAGGACCAAACAAACCATAATCTCTGAAATTTCTAATAATTAAACCTCCAATTCCCAAATTACAGATGCATCATAAAATAATTCAATGATATTAAATTTTATCTGATCTACGTGACTGTGTTATTATTTTTATTTATTTGTGTGCAGGAAGGTGAAGATCACCTCCAGATCACAGACCCTTTTGGGGCGAAGGCTGATAGAGAAATATCCACTGTTAAGAAACAACTACCTGCATTTGGGGGCCATTCATCATTAACATGGCAATTGCAGAAGCAGCACTCATTTGATAAGTTGAATCTGAAGCCAGGTCACCCTGAAGGATTTGTGTCCACTCCTGATGGCTTGCCAGGCAATACTAATTCTTCAACTGTCAGGATGGGGAATCGGTCTTTTATGCCAAATGCAACAATAGGAATGGTCAAATTTATGGGACAACAATTTGACTCAGAGGGAGCCGAATCGCCTTCTGGGCAGTCGCCTTTGCGACAACAGTCTCCATCACTGCCAGTAACAATGCATCAGCAGCCTCATTCAATGGGAAAATTTTCTGAGCATGACCGTCCCCAAATTCTTAAAACATCTCAATCTTTGGGAGGTATGCAAAGCCAATATATTAGAGATCTCTCACCCACTCTTCCTCCCAATGTTCAGGTTGGTAACTTGCGAAGATCACAGGAAAAGGACTTGCCAGGTCCATTATCTTCTGTAACTTCTTTTCAGTCAGGGCTTCAGCAACAGCGGCTGGGCCCTTCTAAAACTGGAGTTACTATTAAAACTAAGAAGCCACCCCAGTCTAAAGTTTCTTCAGCCAGAGAAACTTCAGAACAGTCAACAAGTAGTTTGTCAGCTGCAGATGTGAAGAGTGGAATCTTCCCCAAGAAATCAATTACCAGTAGTCTTCCTACTACAAGTAGTCTGGATGCTAGGAATCTTCCATCTCAATCAAGGATTCGGCCTACTAAGTCAGGTGGACCTTCCCCTACGACATTAATTTCTTCAGGGTCTGCTGTTGCATCACCATCTTCATTAGGTCCTTTAAATGATGATTCATCTACTCTGCCAAAAATACCTCAAGGAAAGGCTGGACAACCACAAAGGACTTCTACTCCTGCTAATGTGAGCAGTGCCTCGGCTCCAAGCTCAAATGCCACCAATAATAATACCTTAAATCCAATTGCAAATCTTTTAAGCTCGTTAGTTGCAAAGGGTTTGATATCTGCAGAAACAGAGTCGGTGACTGTGGTACCAAGTGAGATGCTGATGCAATCGGAAGACGAGACTGAAAGCATTACCCCCAGCTGCTCTTTGCCAGTTGCGTCAGTTTCTGGTTCTGCAGCTGTCCCGGTACCATCTTCAGGAGACAAGGTAGATGATGTTGGAAAATCCTCTCTTGCCTTACTTCAATCAACTAGCACAGAAGTCAGAAATCTCATTGGCTTTGATTTCAAACCTGATATAATCCGAGAATTGCATCCACCTGTAATCAGGGGATTATTGGATGATCTCCCACATCATTGCACAATTTGCGGTATTAGGCTTAAAAAGCAAGAACAGTTCGATAGACACTTGGAGTGGCATGCCACAAGAGAAAGAGAACAAAATGGTCTAATTAGGGCATCAAGAAGATGGTATGCTAAGTCAAAAGACTGGATTGCTGGCAGGGCCGGAGATCTGTCTGAGTTTGAGTTTACAGACTCTGTAGATGTATACGACGAGAAAACAGGCGGGAGTCAATTGGATACCATGGTTCCAGCAGATGAAAACCAGTGCTTGTGTGTATTGTGTGGTGAGCTATTTGAAGATGTATACTGTCAAGAAAGGGACGAGTGGATGTTCAAAGGTGCTGTTTACCTGAACAACTCAGATAGAAACAGTGAGATTGAAAGTAGAAATGTGGGTCCCATCATTCATGCTAGATGCTTAACAGAGAACTCAATATCCAGTGTCACGAATACAGTAAGGCTTATTATCTGATGTTAGTGGATGGAGTGCATGTCTTCTAGTTTGATGTTAGTGTTTAATTTTTTGGTTGTAACTGACAGGACTTGTTCTATTTTTGCAGGAACATGATTGATGGTTTACCCCGATAGCATTGGAGCTATGGTGTTAGTGTAGTCAAAAGCTTACTAAGGGTACCCGGGTTTACTTTGCATCATAAATCTCGATGGCCCTTTAATACTTCAATTCATTGCCTCTAACTGGTCTCTAGAGCGCTCAAACAAAATTTGTGCTCTTTTTTGTTTCTTTTTCTTGTACTCATTGAAAAAAAAGGAATTACTTGGTGTTCAAAAGATAAAAATGCGAGATAGTTTTTTGCAGCTAAACTTTCTGGTTGACGTGGTTGTGTTGTAGCTTTATTTTACTATGGTGAAACGGATTTGCGCACTTAACGCATCTGGCAATAATACGAACCTAAGCACCGAGGCCATGGATTGGATGATGTTATATGTATCGTTAAAATAACGACAATTTTGGTTTCCCGCTCTTTCAATTTTACGTTGTTGAATTTCCCCTTTTTCTTTCAGAGGGAATTGGAAGTGCAATGTTACGTATTACCCCATTTACCTGGGCATTACTTTACTGAATTTTTCAGGTTCAAAGACAATAATGGCTCATTGTGCTTTTTCTTGCTAATTGTATGCATGATTTTTGGTTGTCGATTTTGCTGAGGAGTATATTCTCCATGTTGGATACTCAGAGCCCTTATTTGATGCACTGTCAGCCTATTTTTGCAAGTCAAACATGGGCTTTCTCTCTCTAGTGCCAACAGTTGGCTTTGGGTGAAAGAGTAATGCTATTCCCAGAAGTATTGTACAACGAACTGACAACTATATAAAAAGCGTTCCGGTCCCACTTTTCTTTAATAGTTTTTTTTTCCTACCTCGGTGATAAAGACCAAGTAGTTAGATAGTTAAACGGTTACTCGTTTATAAGTAGGGTTCGGTTTTTAGCATAAAGCAAATATTTGCGCAGAGTAAAAAAAAATGGGATTTATTGATTTTTTTTTAAAAAAATTACCAGAAATTAACATCGTATCCTGTGGTTGCGGCAGACAAATAATTTCTGCCGCAGCGACAAAAGTAGTTTTGCCTTATAAGTAAGTAACCATTAATATTATTGTTTGTTGACTTCTTTTTTTAAAAGTCATTTGTTATCTTAACATATGGTTTGTGGTTACTCACTTGATAATATATTAATAATTAAATATGCAATTATTTATTTATTTTTTTGAAAATATTTAAATCGGTTCATTGTTTCGCAACTAATCCGATTCGGGACGGGTTAAGGATTAAGGCTTTAAACTCCTCCCAAAGGTGGTACTGGAGAGATTCGAACACATGATCTCACCCCCATCTGCTTAGCTTCCATGCGGCAACTGAGCTACCACCATCTGGTATATGCAAGTTTTCTTCTCCACTAGTTCAAGTTCGAACGGCAAGATTTATAAGACAGAAAGTTTGTTAGTTTTGATTTATTTATTTTTGTTGATTTATTTATTTGACATTGAGGGATTTTACTAAACAACTAAGTCATGAAAAAAAGGTGAGGTTTTTAAGAGAGAAAGATGTTACTCCTGGAAGTTTATGATGAAAAAAATTACTTATTGCTGAATGCCGACAATGTTGTATAGTCAGTGTTAACTGGTTCTTCTTTAATTCTATTAATTAAATCTTTTTCTGCCGTTTCTAAATTAATCTCATCCTTCGTCTTTTAGAAATATAATTCCATTTTATGGACCAGACCCTGTTATAACAAGATGTTAAGATTCAGAATTGCAAAAACTTTCTTTCATGTTGTACAATTCCGGACAAAAATAAAGCAAATGGGTGATTCACGTCTCCTGATATAAATCGGCAACTCATTCGAAATTCAGTATCTATGCACTTTGTTCTTTAGCTTAACACTAGATCCCCCGTAATCCCATGATATCAGTGCTTCATACTTAAGAATCCCCCGAAAATCGTATTTTTTTTTTTTAAAAAAAAATCCCCCGAAAAAAATGGAGAGCATAACGTCGATGTTAGATGTGTCTATTTATAATTATTCACGTGAAGTTAATAATTGATCCCACACAAATTTAAATTGATAATTCGGTCTTTTCATATTTATCGACAGTAACAAATTAAGTATAAGTCGGAAGCAAATAAGAAGAACACAGTTTCTTTGTTACCCCGGATTTATTAAATATTATCATAGATAGGAACTCCTATATTTTAACATGCTGTTGAACTAAGGTGCATGTTCATTTAATTCAGGGCGTAATGGGAGGAGGGGGTGTCTTCTGGGTGTAGATGTAATCCAAGTGGGCCTCCTCGATCTCGATCATTCTTCTCCTCAAGCATTCTTCATCCTTCACATCGCATTCGTCTGATCCCATTACCTGCATGAAATTGCATCTTATTAGAAAAGTAAAAAACAAAAAACAAAATAAATAAACTTTGGCTTTTAAATTGTGTGGAAGAGAGAGAGAAAGAGAGAGTAGGGTAAACAGTACGTATATTCTTACTTCCTTTCCATCTATGTGTTGAATGAGGGGAGTTGAATGTTTTTGTGGTACAAGGAGACGAGCAGAAGCTAAGAAAGAGGAAAGAATGAGAAGAAAGAAAAACAAGACAATTTGTTGCTTCATTGTTTCACTCAGGGAATGGGGGCAAGTGAGAGTGATCAAATCTTATGTGTCTGAGAAGGTAGAAGAGGGGAATATATAACTAAGAGGCTCGCTTAGCTTGCTTATGTTTCTGTCCTTTATAATTATCTTTCCCTCTTTTTCTAATGGAAATGATATATTTATCCCAAAAAAGTTTATCACCTTTACAACCAATCTAATCACCGTTGATTTCAATTAATCTAACTGCTATAATTTATTGAAAATTATTGAGTCACATTTATTAATTTCTAATAAATCTAATAAATATAACCGTTAGATTGATGGAAATCAATGGAGATTAGGTTGGTTGTAAATGTGATAGACTTTTTTGACGGTAAGTATATCCTGCCTTTTTTTTTAACGCAAATAATCTTTTAAATGTGTGTGAATCAACAATTGACGGTTTTTGTTTACTCACCATGTTTTCAAAACTTAATTTGTACTGTCTTTTATGTATTATATAGTTATTTGAGTAAATAATCAAAATAGTATTATATTTGCGAAGCATTATATCATATTATAGTCTTTTAATCAACGATTAAGTTGAAATTTTTCAAATGATATTTAATATATTAAAAGGGACAATTAATTTGATGGACTGAAAAATGTGAACTCTATTTATGGTGTGTATATCTATGACGTTTATAATGTTCTTTTGAATGTTTTCAAATGTTAAATATTTATGGTGGTTTGAGAAATATTGATTGCTTTCAAATGACATTTACTCCATTTATATTGAATTAATTGCCTCCTTTAATGACTGAGTTGAATTTTTTCCAATGGCATTTAATATTATTAAAAGGGCAACAAATTTTATGGATAGGAAAATGCGAACTCTACCCAATGTGCAAGCAGCCTAGGATATTTATGACGTATTGTTGAGTGTTTTCAAATGATTTCAACGGAGATTAGGTTAGTTGTAAATGTGGTAAACTTTTTTGGTGGTAAATATATCATTCCCCAACTAAGAAATATCAAATATGGTCAAAACTCAAAAGGTCAAAATTAAAGGAGACAATTAATCTTAAAGGTGTCAAAATCAGCTTAAGCTAGCGTGTTAGCCCGCGGAACTCTATATTTGGATTAAATCTTTTGCGGTAGGATTTTTTTTAGCTCTATAATTTAGCAGGTTAGGTTAGGATTCATCTATTGGTCAATCTTTTTCCTTTATCAAAATTGGCACTACATAAAGTATATAAATTTAAATATTTATACATATAAAATAAATTATAACATAATACAAGCAAAAATAATTTTTTTCAACAGCCATAACACAAATTGAGATTTTTCTCCAGGAATATATTCATCAGTTTGACCCACTTAAAATTGGGTTCCGCCATTTGAGCTTCGTCAAAACTCAAAAATAGCATATTTTTGAGCGATTTTCATCACAAAATAATCCAGAAACAACAAATCAACAAGATTTTAATATATTCAATCTCAAAAACAACATATTTTTGAGCCATTTTTTAGAGATTTTCGAATTTTAAAAAATTATTTTTCAAGTTATCGGTCACGGTTTTTCTTAACACAAAAATGAGTGATTTTTGTATTAAAAATAACATAAAATAGTGGAAAAATAACATGGGAACTAAAATCTTCAAATCAATTTTCGTTTTATATCAATGAACGATACATTCATGAACCCTCAAATCAACATATGAATCCTATATTTTGTAACAATACATTCATGAACGAAATTTCTTCACTATAATAAACGATTTTCAAACAATTTTGTGTAAATAGATAACTAAAAACTTATTTTTCAAAAGCTCCAAAGCAATTTAAGATTTCAATGTATCGATTGAAAAAAAATTGAGAAATTTTCTAAACTTTCATGTAATTAAAACCCAAAAATTCAGTTTTGAAATTATCTTAAAATATTCAATGAAAACATGCATATGATATATGGTTAAAAAACTCTGATAACGTAGAACAAAACCCCCAAAATTTTCAAGATCAATTGCAAAAAATTCTAAATGAAATTTTATTATGAACTTTAGGTTCTATATGCAAATTTAGAATTATTTTAATAATTAAAAAAACTGAGTCTTACGATCATATATACATAGCTCTGATATCAAATAAAGAAGATACTTTTCAACTCATTGGTCAAACTCAAGAGCAGGAACGAAAAAATGTTAATGCATGGAGGACTAGTATAGCTTTAGATATGTGGAGAGTTGTTTCTTAGTAATTTTGAATGTTTGTTAAAAATTATATTATGTTTTACTGATTGAGAAAATTATATTAGATTTTACTTTTTTTTATTAATTTCATTGCATTTCTTTGTTTTTTTTATTGACTCTTGTAATTTTAAATGTTTGTTAAAAATTCATATGGTTTTTTAAAATCTTATAAATCCATATTGTCATTTCAAATCTTATAAATTCTATTAAAATCCTTTAAAATCTAATCTTATGAAATCTTGATTGTAAAAAAAAATCTCTTAAAAAAGTCTTTAAAGTACACTCAATTCTAAATAGTCTTTAAAATACTAATCCAATACACCCCCTTAGACTTAATTTGTTTTCAGATAATATGTTTTAGGGGAATATATTTCTCATATTACATGAGATAATTTATCTCATGCAACACATAAAAATATAAGTGAGAATCACTAAGGAGAAGATAGAGAGAAAAAAATGGATTTCACTCACTTTTGTGTGTTGCATGAAATAATTTGTCTCATGAGCCATGAGAAACATATTTCTTTACGTTTTATCATTAAATGTTTTTAATTTAAATACTTATTTTATCTTAGGTAATCATTTTCGAAAAAGATAAATGGGGTTAAATATTTATTTCAAAATTATAAAAATTATTTTAAATATCTCATGTTCCATGTGACAATAGACAACGTTGATTATATGACTCACTGTTATGAGCCTATATGAGCGGCCCATATTATAGAAGGCCTAAGAAAAGACAGCAAGAAAAGGAAACTAATGTCATAAAGGAAAGAATCCCTGAAAGGCACTAATCCTGCTACAACAGCTATGAATCTGGACTTAGGCCCCTATAAAAGTTATTTAAGATCCAAAATTTCACTACGTAAAGCCTATAGGTGTGGCATTCTCTCTCTTATTATTATGTTATCTCTATGCACATACATCACTCATTTGGCAATGTCGTTACTCTAAGTGTACAGTGATCTGCTATCCTTAAAGGTATCTCTTTCATAGATACCTAAGAGAGCCCTTATATCTAATATAAACTCACTAGTCTTTGACTAGATATTTCTATCTCGAGGACAGAACACTCGCCATCCTCAAACGTTGTCCATTCGTAGGAGTCTTTGTGTAGCCTGATATCTTGGACTTTGTGCAATGCAGATTTAATTTGAAAGCAAAATTCTTTATCAATCTCTCTATTGTCAAAATTTGTTTTAATTAATCCGTTTTAAACTTCTTTTAACTAACGCGACGATCTATAATATTGATTGTGTGGGTGACCACCCTTAAGGGTCCTACGCTTCGTAAGGATGTACATATAGCTAGGCTATCTTATACCCTGTGCAATTGTGATTTAATTTTCAAACATTTTAAATTTAATAAAATCATAAATTTTATTAAGAACAACGTAACTTTGAGATCCTCATTGTACGAGGGGATATGTCGGAGCAAAATTTTTCCGTCAAGCTCAAAATAAAACTATTATAATTTTGTTTTATTTTCTTATACATAATTTTATTATTCATCTTGTTTTGTTTGGTTTAAGAAAATACTCTAAAATTATTAAAAATTTACACAATTAATTTAAGATAATCATTTTTTCAAATGGATGTACCAAGGGTGTAGTAGGATTAAGTTTATACTATTCTCAGTGCATAATTAGACTTCCGAACTTTGATTCAAAGACCAATTTTGCTAAAATAAAAAAAAATTCAATTTTTTTCAAATTAAATAAAATTGGTAGCAACTTCATATTTTTTATTTTATTTCTAAATAATTTCAGGTCATTGCAACCCCCCTTCCCCCCCCTCCCCCCCCCCCCCCCCCCCCCTTTTTTTTAATCCGACGGAGCTAATTGGTTTGGACTGTTAGACACTCTTACTTTCGATATCGAACCTGAAGAAATCAAACAGAATCTGAATTCTGAATTCAAACCATCTATCTAGAAATTAAACTTGGACTTTAGGGTTCTGTTGAACTGATTTTGACCTTAACGGCTGAAAGTGAGAATTGATAACACTCACGAGTCCTATCCCAATTAGTCACGGGAGTTTGCAGAGTTTTCAATGGTGTCCTGTACAAGCAACTACTATAGTTTAAGAAACAAATAGTCAATATTTTACTGAAATTTTATGTTAAATCTAGAAGGAGAGGAGGAAGATTTTGTTTCAGTACGGGGGGTAATTCAAATTAAGCAAGTTAATTAGCTTCACAGACATAAATTATATATGAACTCTCTGTCTGGCTGCCATTTCATGTGAATCACATTAGAATAAGTTTAGTATGTTTGTCTGACTCCTATTTCATCTTTCCGTCCTTATTCCTTATCCAAGTGAATGAAATTTCTTTTGTAGAATAAATTCAATCCGATAGACAAGTCTCGTTAAATTTAAATGTCAAATCAAATGTCGGGATATGAAGTATGATACTAATTAGTTAATTTTATATACAGCACATTAGAATTTAAATCAATGAGATTAAAGAATAGAAGGGAAGAGAAGTATGTGTCTATGGATGTTGGGCGTTTGCGCAGCTAATATGGTTTTGTTTGTGTCCATAAACAGTCAACCTTCACTTTTCTTAGGAAAAATATAATGGACAACAACCCTTCACTTCGGGTGATGGATCATCTCGTGTGAAAAAGTTGTCATGTTATTTGATCACAACCACTCATTGATGATGAGATAAAAGAGAGAAAAATGTATAATTTTTAAATGAATGATTATGATCAAATAACATATGATCACTTTTTCACGTGAGAGAATCCAAATCCATTTGTAACCCACGTACTATTAATTGTCCATTATGCCTGGTCTTTTTGCCGCTAGAAACTTGTGATAAGGCATTTCGATTGTCAACAATTTCGTCTTCCTAATTAATCCACGCATGCCTGGATGCTCAAGTGGGCCTATAAAGGGAATGGCAGCTACGTTGAATAATTGAACAAAGTTACCCAATCAAGTGCATTTTTGAAATATATCATCTCAAGCACGTGCTCATGGATGGATGGGAATTCAGAACGCGGTATAAAAGCGCCCCAATCTTGCTGCTGTTGAGAGGGAAGGGGTTGCTGAAATTAAAGAGCTCCATCAATTCTTCTGACTTTTTTGTTTGAGATGCATAGATCAATAATATTTGCGTTTACTTACATACTTTTTGGATTTTGGTTCAATACTTAAACTGCAAAATACTAGCCATATCTAATTATAACCGAAATCTAACTAACACTAGATTCTAAAAGTCTTCGCTGTATGTAGATCTAGAAAAGTTCTTTGCAGCTAGGAAGGCGGTCAAATATCCCAATAGACGCTGATCCTGATGGATTTATTTATCTTTTCTTAATCTTCTAACATGGGCATTTTTAACAAGTCTCGAAAAGGGATATGTACCTAAAATATTGTACATTAGGTCCTCGTTGTTTTCAAACTGCTGTCACCAAACGGGGTAAAGTTAAAAAATAATCCCAGTACGCACTATTATATGCAAACTATATACATAAGTTTGTAGCTAAACCAGGGGAGATCGAAGCTTGTTTAACATTGACTATAACCTGGAATTCAAGTTATGATAAGTGATAACAGCTTGCCAGTATTCCAAATAAAAAACAGAAAATTCAAAAAATAAAATAACATACTTCGTGAGATCGTGGCCAAAACATTGCAAATTCATCATATTTAACTAAATCTTAATCGGAGCATTTTTAATTAATAATCCCAAATGCCTTGTATAAAGAGAGAGAAAATTTTCTCAATTAATTACGGGTTTATTTACCCACTTGTGGTACTTGCCTGTGATCCCACGTGCTTCTTTATTTATTTTTGATCCTCTGTTTTGTTCATTAAGCATATTCTTCAACAACTAATGTTAATTTATACGGTCAGACAGAATTTGAATTAATTAGTAAATCTAATATTACCAACTCATCCGTATAGTATTTTCCTTCTTGATCTTGAATATATTTAATTGAGATATTATATACGCCATCTTTTTACATTAAAATATGTTTTATATAAGGTATTATTAACCTTATAAATCTCCTACGGTCTCCTCTCATGTTCATCCTTCCTATGCTGTGCGAACTGTGATGTTCAACATGTCAGCGACTCATCAGTTCCAATTTACAGTCGTTCTCGTTCTGTCTCTTGAGATTACGTTGACATGTTTTGCAGCCACTTCCATTCCACAAGAGCTTCACAAAGGCTTCTCGGCAGCTCCACAGTCTACAACGACGTCGTTTGAGACTGTTCTGAGCGACCCCACCGGCAACTTTTCCCTGGGGTTCCTCCGCCATAACCAAAACCAGTTAACACTAGCAGTCATCCACGTGGCTTCCTCGGAGCCACTCTGGGTTGTTGGCAACAAACCAACCCACTCGGCAGCAGCCTGGTCTGTCACCACTCGCCTATTCTTCAACGGCAGCCTCGTGTTATGGGACCCACAAAGTGGCGCGTCGTGGTCAACCGCCACAAATGGGGACCGCGTCGTGCTCCTCAACACCTCCAACTTGCAGGTTCAAAATAACAAAGGCACTCTTCTATGGGAAAGTTTCAATTTTCCCATAAATACCCTCGTCCAGGGCCAGAACTTCACCGCCAACATGTCTTTGATGTCGGGTAACGGCTTATATTCGTTGCGGTTAGGCGACAACTACATGGGCTTATACACAAACTACGGCGAAGAAGAAGGAGGGTCGTTGAGGCAGTTATTATACTGGAAACACACAGCACTAGAAGCAAGAGCTGAAATAGATGAAGGAAAGGGACCCATTTACGCCCAAGTCAACGAGAATGGTTATCTCGGCATGTACCAATCAAGCCCCAACCCCGTTGACGTTCAGAAATTCAACAGCTTCCAACAGGCCTTCAACACGTCGTCGTTTCTGTTGGTGCGGTTGGAACCTGACGGGAATCTGAAAGGCTATTACTGGAACACGGACACCTCCACCTGGCTGCTTAACTACCAGGCCATCACTGACACCTGCGAACTCCCCAGCCCCTGCGATTCGTACGGTTTGTGCACGCCGGGTGGGTCTGGATGCTCCTGTTTGGATAACCGGACCCGGTTTGAACCGGGTGGGTGCTTGGCTGGAGATGCAGATGTTGATGGAGATTTGTGTGGGGAAAGGATGGGTGGGAACAGTTACTGGGTGCTGAGGAGGACGGGAGTGGAGCCACCGCACAAGGAGCTACTCGGACACGTAACGACGTCGTCTCTGGCGGAGTGCGAGGGATTGTGCCAGAACAACTGTAGCTGTTGGGGAGCGTTGTACAGCAACGCAACCGGGTTTTGTTACGTTTTGGACTACCCGATCCAGACCATGTTGGGTACCGGGGATGAGTCCAAGGTGGGTTATTTTAAGGTGAGGAAAGATGCAGGGGGAAGGAATCGGGTTGGGGTGCGGGTCGGAGTTGTGGTTGCGGTTTTGGTTGGGATTATTGGTATTATTATTGGGATTGGGATGTGCCGATTGAGATGGAAAAGGAGGAAAGGGGTGAATGGGATCCTGGAGGAGGAGAATGGGGTTTCGCCCGGCCCGTATAAAAATCTCGGATCCGCAAGTTTTAGATCCATCGAAATGTGCAATAATGCCCAATAAGGGAATGACGCAAGGGATGACGCATGATCCTACTCGATGCTAAAGGTTGACAAATGACAAAGACAAAGACAAGATTACAAATTTGGATGTTGGGTGTAAAGGGTCCATCTAATCTATGGGATGGATCACCATCCCACTTAGCACACATGGATGGAGGAGTGGTTGTTGAACCTGCGCATGTGATGTGACCCTTCTCGTCCCTCAAGTCCTTTGTTCCTTCCTTGTTCAAATAACTCACAAAGTCACAACGAAGAGTTCTGGTGAAAGGTTGAACACTTGAACCATACTCGAATAATGTGCACGCCATTTTAATTTCTTATTTCGTCACTAACCGGGGAAGCAAGAAGCAGTTTGGAGTGCCGAATGAAACCAAAGATATTTTGAGCATGGAAAAATCAATCAACATCAAAGACCGAACTCAAATTATATATTCTTGTCGAATTGGGTCCTCGGACATGCCTTTTAACTTTGCAATTTACAACGAAATGCATTTGACTTGAAGGTGAAACTGCGGTCCCTTCACTACAAGGGGTTGCATGAGTTAAGATTCCTTGCCCACAGTGTAGAGGGAAGAGGAAAGAATAGAAGGGAGAACGAATAGGAAGAGAGAGATGAGATTATTGTCAAAATCCCTTTTGAGGTTTGAATTACCATATTTAAAGAAAATGCAAAGCCTAGTTTAGAATTTAAATGAGTAAGGTTGTTGTAACAACCAATCCTAAATTATGAAGGAAAAATAACAAATCCTAAATTACGAAGGAAATAACAAATGCTTAAAAATAGGAACTGAAACAATTAATCTTCTAAATGCAGTTAAGCTGCGTATTTTATTTAAAGCAAAACAGACTGCACTATGGGCTTGGCTCATGTGAGATATTCATCCAAGTATCTTGGGCTGGTCCGCATACGTGTGGGATGTGCTCTGGTGGGCTGGACCACAACATCTCCTTCCCCTTTTGAAATATCCATGTCCTCATGGATAAGGATTTCAGTAGATTGGCGACCAATAGCTGCGCGCCGCGTGGCCTGAGGGACTTGGGGTGTCATAATCTTCTCGGTCAGTGTGTCCGAGGCATGCATAATGGGTGGGGGTAAGGAAAGTTGTCCGTCATTTGTCTTTGGTACCTCATCCCTTGGTTGGCTCAGCTCTTCATCTTCTCCACGAGCTTGAGCCAAGCTATCCTCTTCTCCACTTTCATGAGCTATGTCCTCTGCTTCCTCCCTCGCCTGAACCGTGTCTTCCTCCCATGAGGAATCTTCTGGTGCACCGTCGGTCCACTGGACCAAGACTTCCTTAACTAGCTTACCTTTTTTCCATACCTCCCTTTCTCCGAGGATAGCTACTGCCCGGTGAAGGGGTTTGTTGTCCTGCGTGTGAGGTGGAAGATCGTGAACTTTAAACGCGGTGGGCGAGACCAACGGGCGGAGGAGGGAAACGTGAAACACCGGGTGTATCCTGGAAGATGGTGGAAGCTGAAGCTTGTAGGCGACTGGACCGATGCGTTGCAGCACCGCAAACGGACCGTAGTATCGGAGAGCGAGCTTCTGAGAGGTACGTTTCTGAACCGTGATCTGTCTGTAAGGGTGTAGTTTAAGTAGAACCTGATCTCCTTCCTTGAACTCCCATGGCTTACGTGTTTTGTTGCTGTAAACCTTCATTGCTGTTTGAGCCTGATTTAGATTTCGCTTCAAATGTTCCATGATTTTGTTTCTGTGTGACAGATCTGTGTCAATGGCCTCCAAGGAGCTGGATCCAAGACAATATGTTAACAAGTTTGGTGGAGGGATACCAAACGTGATTTCGAACGGTGTATACCCCGTCGATCTGTTGAAGGAGGTGTTAAAATGGAACTCTGCAAAGCTCAGGATCCGTGACCAGTGGGTCGGATGCTCGTGGACAAAGGCTCGAAGGTACTGCTCTAGACATCTGTTTACTCTTTCAGTTTGTCCGTCGGTTTGTGGGTGATATGCTGAACTGTAACGCAGGTTGGTGCCTTGAAGTTCAAACAGTGCGCGCCAAAAGTTGCTGAGAAAGATCGGATCACGATCTGAGATGATGGTTTTTGGAAACCCATGGAGCTTTCCCGCAGATTCCCAGAATGCTTTGGCAACTCGGGCGGCAGTGAAGTTCGCTGGTAAGGGTACAAAGTGTCCGCCTTTGGATAACCTGTCCACAGTAACAAAAATAACACTAAAACCGTTAGAGTTAGGCAAATGTGTAATAAAGTCCATGCTGAGGTCGGTCCAGATAGTGTTAGGTGGTGTGATGGGTTGTAAGAGCCCGTAAGGGGAATGGTTTTGGGGTTTTACTTTCTGGCAGATCTCACAATGTTTGACAAAATGCTTAACATCTCTCTTCAATCCTTTCCAGGTGAAAACGGAGTTGATGCGTAGGAACGTGTTCTGGATCCCAGAGTGTCCCCCTTGCAAGGAGCTATGGAACTCGTGGAGCAGCTTTTCCTTCAGAGTGGAATTATCTGGAATATAAATTTTGGATTTGTGAAAAAGCAAATCATTTTTTAATTTCCAATCTTCCCATTTATTTGGTTCTGTAATAAGGCCCTGGATGACTGTAATAGCGTAGGTGTCTTGCTTTAATTCCTGCTGTAGAATGTGTGTGATATTGCATGTTGGCCCTGTGATTGTGGCAAGCTGGGAGTGAGGGAACTCAATGCCTCCTTCAGAAAACCGGGACAAGGCATCTGCAGCCGCATTTGTTTTGCCCGGTTTGTAGACAATGGTGTATGAAAAACCCAGAAGCTGTGACAGAAATTGTTGCTGCTCTGGGGTTTGAACAACTTGGTTCATCAGATGGAATAAGCTCTTATGGTCAGTACGAATGACAAAGGTAGCGCCCAATTAATACTGTCTCCATTTTGCAACGCTACTAGTAATAGCAAACATTTCGCTTATGTAGGTAGATTTCTTTTGCATTGCTGGATATAATTTTCGGCTGTAGAAAGCGATAGGTCTGTCATGCTGCATTAATACTGCTCCGATGCCAACACCTGAGGCATCTGTCTCTAAGATAAATGGAATTGAGAAATCAGGTAAAATCAGAATAGGGGCTGTAGTAAGTAATAGCTTCAATTTGTTAAAAGCCGCGGATTCCTTGTCACCCTAGTTGAATTCTTTTTTTGAGGTTAAGTCTGAAAGAGGAGCAGCTATGGTTGCAAAATGTTTGATAAAACGCCTGTAATATCCAGCCAAGCCTAGGAAAGCACGGACCTGAGTCACGTTTTTAGGTTGTGTCCAATGTGTGATGGAACGAATTTTTTCTGGATCGGGTAACAAACCTTTACCAGATATAATGTGTCCTAAAAACTGAATTTGCTCTTGGGCAAACAAACATTTAGACTGTTTTGCAAAAAATAAATGTTTCCGTAGAGTGGATAAAACCATCAGTAGGTGCTCCTTATGGGCAGTCAGTGTTGTGCTGTATATTAAGATATCATCAAAGAAAATGACAACAAATTTTCTTAAAAAGGCAGAGAAAACCTCATTCATAGTTGCCTGGAAGGTAGATGGTGCATTGGACAGTCCAAATGGCATCACAAGAAATTCGTAGTGGCCGTGGTGTGTGCGGAAGGCTGTCTTGTGAATGTCAGAGGCATCCATCAGTATCTGGTGGTAGCCGGACCGTAGATCGAGTTTGGAAAATATTGAAGCTCCATGTAGTTCGTCCAATAATTCATCTATGGTAGGAATAGGAAACTTGTCATTTACCGTTATTGCATTCAGGGCTCTATAATCAACACAAAAGCGCCAAGTTCCATCTTTTTTTTTTTAACGAGTATAACTGGTGAGCTATATGCTGAAGTGCTGGGGCGTATTATTCCCTCTGATAACATCTCGTGGACCAACTTCTCGATCTCATTTTTTTGGTAATGGGGATACCGGTAGGGGCGTACCTGGATTGGTTTTGTGTGGGGAAGAAGGTGGATATGGTGGTTTGTGGGTCTATGTGGAGGAAGTTTAGTGGGTTTGAGGAAAACATCTTGGAAAGTGGTTAGGATCGGTGAGATGGTGTGAGGAATAGGAGGGGTAGGGTCTGTATGTGGCTGAGGATGTGATGCGGTCAAGCACATGAGATAGGCTTGGATTGGTTCTTGGGCAATGAGTTTGTGTAGTTGGGAATTGGTAATTGCGGAAGGTGTGAGAGAGGTATTCCCTTGAAGAGTGATGGGTTGGGAGTGGTGGGTAAAGGTCATTGTAAGGGTGTTGTAGTCTGTGATAACTGGTCCCAAGGTGGATAGCCACTGAACACCTAGGACAATATCTGCGCCCTGAAGTTCTAGCACAAAAAGGTCAATGTCAAAAATGTGTTGATGCGGAAAAGTGATACGAACCTTAGTACACATCCCTTTGCAGAATAGGTTGTCCCCATTTCCAACTTGGACCTGGAATGGGCTGATGGATTGGATGGGTAAGTGCAAGTTGGTTGCAGCGTGTTCAGTAATGAAATTATGGGTGCTGCCATTGTCGATCAGGATCTGGACAGCTGTGCCTTTAACAGTGCCAGTCAGGCGAAAAGCCTTGGTAGAGTGGTGGCCAAAGAGGGCATTGAAACTGATTTCAGGATACGCGAGGGTGTCCGGAGTAGAATCTTCCTCCGTGTCCTCTACGTGTGCAATCTCTTCTTCATCATCTACTAACATACACATAAAGGAAGAACCCGGTTTACATTTATGGCCAAAGACATACCGATCGTCACAATTGTAACATAGCCCCTTTTCTCGTCGTGCCATCATCTCAGTTTGGGAGAGCCGTCGTATGGGAATGGAGGTGGACGTGGTTGTGGGTGGTTTGCCAGGCAGAGTGTTGCTGGTAGGCTGGGTACGTTGTCCCCACCTCAAGGAGCGATCCTCAGCTTCAGCGAAATTGCGGGCAAGGCCCCAGGCCGCATAGAAAGTCTCTGGTAAATGGGCCTGCACATCACTACGCACCTTTGGTTTGAGACCCGAGATAAACATGCTCTTGCGAAGGGCATCTGTGATGCC